TGTACACATAAGCCGACAACAGAAGCAGTAGTAACTGATACAATACAAGTTTATAAGTAGCTACGGCTTGAGATAAATGCGCAGTATATTTTATCTGGTTCAACCGTTCAATAACAACAATGATAACAACAACAATAATAAATATTATTATTATTATAATTATTATGGATGATAATGACTATGACGGTAGATAAACACAGATGTGATGCATATGGATCTCTGTGTGTTTATTGATAAATTTTATAAGAACCAATGAAAAACAAGCAAATCAATCAATCAATCAATCGACCGATCAATCAATCAATCCACCAATCAAATAATTTCTATAGTCCTCTTCGATGAATTATTTTGCAGACAGGTGGTCCTTAAGATCCGAACTTTGTAATGTAACTGACGTGGAAGTTCTCAAGTTATGGTAGGTAGATAAATAACAGTTGTATGTGTGTATGTATGTGTGTCTGTACGAGTGTGTGTGTCTGTATGTGTGTGTGTGCACATGACTAGTTCATATTTACCTAGCTAATAGAACTTTCTATTAGGAGGCTTGGCCAGATTTAATCATTTCATGAAAAAAAAACATTTTTCATTTCAAAAATTTCATTAAAATTGAAGCAATAAATTACTAGATATAAATAAATGACTTTGCAAAAATATTAAAACAATTTTTTCTGAAAAAAAAATGAAAAGATGATGACACCGAGATGAAATGCGGATGCTATTTTTAGCAATGTGATGAAACTATGAGATGAGGTGATTCAATGTACAAAGGCACCAGCTGGTGGGCGTGTCTCATGAATAATAATTAGATATCATTATTATTCATTAGTTAGTTCTTCATTTACAAATTTTTTACTGTTTTTACTCCATTATTCACAAGTGAAATAAAAAAGAAAAAATCAAATAATCCTAATCTAACTAATTTAAACTAGACTAAAAATTGGCGGGTAAAACCTCAAGAAATGAGAGCATGGTTTCATTACTTTACAACATATAAACCTTTACTTTACTTTAAACGTATATACCTTTTTGTAGTTTATTTGACAACAAAAAAGGAATAAATATATAATACTTACAATCTTAACCAAAAGAAGTTAGCAAAATTTCGATTTGAATTTCAAAATTGGTGACCAAAACGTCAACTAAAAGTTAATTTTTGACAAAATATGGAAAGAGTTGCATGATGGAATATGTAAATTTGGCTTAAATTTATGTATATGTTATGTTGGATATGTATATATATATTTATATATATAGTATATGTAATTTTAAAAAACACGTATATAGAATGATATATATTGTATAAAGATACATGACAATATTGTTATTTCATGAATATTAATGAAACTAATTTGCATATCTGTATAAATCGTAATACGTTGATCCGTTTTGTTTCACTTTTCATTATAAAAAAAGTTAGTCAGAATAAAATCTATGTACGTGCGTGAAATTACCTGATATTTATATCTAAATGGTGATCGAGAAGAGGTGGAAGATTTAATTATTAATTATTTAATTAATAATAAAGTTGAGTTAAATCTTAATTACCATGGAATAGTCATCGAAACGCCATTTTAAACGTTTTAGTCGTTTTAAAATAAAAAATTCCGTGTAATCATCTGCGGCCGTCCGTAACTTTTGCTAGCTACGATTAGGGATCAGCCAGTTAGGTTCCCCAGTCAGCACAGTACGTAACGTAAGTCAACTTGTCTACAAGCGAGAGGAGCCTGGATAAAATATTCTTTCAAAAAGATATTTATCCGCTATGCTGTGAAGATTTCAAAGAAATATGAAGATAAAATAATAAAACGCCAAAATCGCCTTCCTAATTTAATTAAAATTAGTGGCTAATTAAATCTTTAATAATTTAATGAAATAAATAGCTATTCTGTTGAAATCTGTCTGTCTGTCTTTTAACCAACATAACATCCTGACCTGTCCTAACTCTCTGGCCAATTTCTTACTTTTCAAGCTGGTTGATTTCTCCTACTAAATAAGTCCTAACTAACTATAAATATAACTTACTAAACTAAATTTAACCTGGCCGGCCTCTGCATGTGATTGAAACGAGGATTCATCTGTTTCTGTGGGTTTCATCGTATTATTTATTCATTATTATTGTATTATTCATAGTGGTTTTTTATTTATTTAGTTCGGTGTTTTAAAAAATTTTCATTAGTTAATATTTTAAAAAACTATTTTAATCTAAATCTACAACTTCTCAATCAAGGAGACTTAGCAATGGTGATGTAATGATTGTAATAATGGTCATGATTTGTGTTTGACTTTTGTCAATAATGATTGTTAATCATACTAATTATTATAAAATAAAAATATAGTTAATTATTGTTTAATTTAGATAGAATAGAAAAATAGACAAAAAAAAGATGGCCGATGGTGTACCAAAGAAAAAAAAGAAGAGATTGAGTAGTTACAGGATTAAAAAGTTTGCAGGTTGTTACAAATTTGTCAATGCTTCATCCATAATAATTAGTATTGCTGTTGTTTATTATTAATAGCTTCAAAAAACATTATGCCAATTCAGTTTTCAAATTGTTTGAAAACTCTGTTATGTTTTAAAAATTGTTTTACAGGTATTATGAGATAATTAATTATTGTTAATGAATAAATATTATTTTTCAGAATTAATAATTTTTTGTTTTTTTTTTTCTCTAGAAATATACCAAAGTACAGATGAATATCTGGGCCAGGGTGCATGTGGAACTGTTAGAACGTTCTTCTCAGTTGAGAAGAGGAAGGAATTCGCTGTTAAGGTAAAAGAAAAAGAAAGAAAGAAAGAGAATGGGGGGAAGGCTGTGTGGAGAATTATGCCATAAAAAGAGAGAAATTAAGTGGTGACAGAAAGATAAAAGGAGAATGAAATATGTTAGATATGTAGTAAACGAGTGTGCAACAAGAGAGAGAGAGAGAGAGAGAGAGAGAGAGAGAGAGAGAGAGAGAGAGAGAGAGAGGAAGAGAAAAAACAAAGAAATGCGTAAAATGAATGTGCATGAATGGTAAGATAAGTTTGTGTGCTTATATATTTGTGTGCGCGCGTGTACGCACGCGTGTGTGTGACATAATGAGAGATTGAGTGAAACTTGTTTATGTTATGCCTTCATTTTGATGAGATTACTCAATTAATAATATCATTCATCAAAATATAGACTAGGCTCTAGTTTTTCAATTTAACTTTGGGTAGTAAATAAATTTTTCTAAAAATTGTTTTGGTTGGTTCTTAACTCTGCAGATAATCCGGAACACGAGTACTCGAGTTAGGTCGAAGGTGCTGAAGGAGATAGAGATACTGCACCATTGCAAGGGGCACGAGAACATTGTACAGTTGCAAGAGTTCTATGAAGAAGATAAGAAGTTTGTTGGCCTTTCTCTCTCTATCCCTCTCTCTCTCTCTCTCTCTCTCTCTCTCTCTCTCTCTCTCTCTTTCTCTCTCTCTCTCTCTCTCTCTCTCTCGTTTATTTAGATTTATTTTTTTTAACAGTTTATTCTTAGCTAATTTAACTCCTAGATAAAATTGGACAATTTAACATCATTCCCAACTACTGCAATTGTAAAAATAATTATGGTAATAATAATAATAGTAATAATTACCTTCATCATAATTATCGCCAGCATCATCATCTCTGTGAATGCACAAATAAGTTTTAATCTATATATATATATATCTCTTTCTCTCTATATATATATATGTATATGTATGTATGGTATGCATAAATAACTTGATTTTATTTATTATCCTATTGCTTAGCCATTAACTGTTAGTATGATTGCTATGCTGAGCTCTTAATGTATGGAAAATTACTTTGGTTTTAATTGTTCGTGTGTGTGTGTGTGTGCGTGCGCGCGCGCGTATATGTGCGTGTGTGTGTTTTGTCTTGTGTTTGGATTTCTATGTTGTTTGGATCTCTATTTATAGAATAAATGGGATGGTGTTATTTACTATTTGCCGTGAGCATTACAGGGCCGTTTTTGAGCAAGGTAGGTAACCTACAGACAATTAAGTCATCTTAACATTACGGTGTGTGAGGTGTGGAATGAATGCGTCTTTACAAGCCACTCGGTACTCTCTTCAACTTGCTACATACGCAGAGTGTAATTGTCTACAGTAGTGTGTATAGTAGTGACTGAGTAACTGTTGTACTTCTCAGCTTAGCATATTCCTGACGAGTTAGTCATCTATCAAGTAATCTTATACATCTGGCTGGACGATGTTAATGATGACGACTGGTGCTTTGATTCACGCATAATCCCATTATGATGTGGAGGTAATATGAATATAATAGTTGATTGATTGACGAGCCAGTGATCGATTGAATGAAAGGATAAATGAACGAACGAATAAATGAATGAATGGATGGATGAATTAATAAATAAACGAATGAACAAACGAACGTACGATCAAATAAACAAGCAAGCCAGTGAATGAATGATAAATCATATCAATAACGGCCTCAATCTAGATTATGAAAAATAGCAGTTAATAAGAATCCCTCTCTCTCTCTCTCTCTCTCTCTCTCTCTCTCACCTGTGTTACCTACTTTAATTAGAGCCAGGTGGGCCATCATCGTCATCGTCGTTGTAGTTGTTATTTACAGTCGTCGTCGATGTTGTGATCAAAGTTTTCATCCTCATCGTCTAAATGTGGTTACTACTACTACTACTACTACTACTACTACTACTACTACTACTACTACCACTACTACTACCACTGTTACTACTACTACGACCACTACTACTACTCTACTAAATGTCAATCTGATATTGTGATTTATGATTAAAAAAATTTGTCCTCTCCATACTTTCGTCATTCTTAAAAGGTTATTGAACTTGATTAGGACTATAAATATATGTATATATATGTGTGTATATATATGTGTGTGTGTATATATATCTTTTTAAAAAATTGACATTAATACCTGCCGTGATGCAATAAACTCGTCTTCTCTCTCTCTCTCTCTCTCTCTCTCTCCCTCTCTCTCTCTCAAATTGATGAATAGATCAAATTGTGTATGATACAAAACACCTGGCAAGCAACTGTGATGCTGATAACTTTAAACAAACTTCCAACCGCAGTTTCTATTTAGTTTTCGAGAAGATGTCAGGAGGAACGTTGTTGGAGAGGCTGACCAGAGATGGACCGCTGCCCGAGTTGGACGTCTCGAAAATCGTCGGCGGTTTGGCCAGCGCTCTCAAGTTTCTTCACGACAGATCCGTGGCACATAGGGACCTCAAACTTGAGAACATCTTGTGCTCGGCGCCTGGCGACAGCAGCAGCAGCTACAATCAAGATGGAAACCTTAGCGGCCTACATCCGGTCAAGTTGTGCGATTTCGATTTGAGTACTGAGTTCAGTGGTCTTCGTGTTGTTGGTAATAAGAATAATAATGACGGTAGTAGTTGGGCTGGCAGTCGCTGCTGGGCTGACGATGAAGGTTGTGGCGGGAGTTTATCGTCTTCCCCTTTGCATAACTTTGCTTCTGCTGTTAGTTTCTTTGTTTTTTTAAATTTGTAGAAATGTGTGTATTTTTAAAAATTAGCTTGATTGGTAACTTTTCAACAACCTACCTGAGAACCTACCTACACGCAACCACCAACAACCACAAAAACAACGACCAACCAATCGCAGGTCGGATCAATAGATTACATGGCGCCTGAAGTGGTGAGTGTGTGGCTATACGAGTCGGATCAGTACACAGAGCAGTGCGACCTCTGGAGTCTGGGTGTCGTCATGTTCATTCTGCTGTCTGGTCTCAAGCCCATCGTTGCTAGGCGGCCTCACAACTGTGTCTGTCGGGATAGCAACTACGAATATATCTGCGATTATTGTCGGGTTAGTGTTTGTTCACACATACAAACGTACGCACACACAGACACGTACAAACATACGAACACACAGACACATACAAACATACACACACAAATACAAACACACACACACGCGATGCTTCTGAATTCGTGCGAATCAACGAATCATATTGTTTTTCCTTATAGTAAGCAATGATTACTTTGCATTGAAATTGAGACGTGTACTTCCATCGCATGTAATTTAACTTGCAGGAAGAGCACTTTGAGGAGATCAAGAGAGGGAGGTACGACATGTCTGGTCCGGAGTGGTCCTCCATTTCCGAGGGAGCCAAGGATCTCATTCGCTATTTGTTAGTCGTCGATCCGACGAAACGTCTAACCGCCCAGCAAGTACTCGCACATCCCTGGATCGTGGACCCACTGTCACATCTCCGAATCCCGGATCCACTGGTACATTCCTTGTCTGTGGTGGATCCCTCGAGGACTAGGATGTCTGCTCCTGTTCCTATTCCTTGCTCGCCGTATGGATTGCTTCAATTGTCTATTTTATTTATAATTTATTACATTCATTAAGTGTTGTATTTTATTTAAATGTTGTTCCTTTTTACTTTATATTCTATTCTTTTTACAATGTAGTTTGAGTGAATGCATTTCTTTAAGTCTCTCTCTCTTTCTCTCTCTATGTCTGTCTGTACTGGAGTTTGAATGATGATTTTTAAATATTTCTTCGTCATTCAGGTCGACAATGAGGAAGATGAAGGCTGATAGGAAGAAGAAGAAGAAGGAGGAGGAGAAGAAGAAGAGAAACGAAGCAAAAGATGGAAGGAAGAAGATGATGATGATGGAAATGATGATGGTGAAGGATGACAACATGAACATGGAGGGAATGGTCGGTAACGAAATGATGATGATGATGACCACGACGACGATGATGATGACTTTTAAAGATGATGATGACGACGACGATGGTAAGATGAGTAAGAAGAAGAAGAACGGCAGCAGCAACAACAATGACGTCATCAAGAAGAACAAAAACAGCAGCTGGTACTGTGGATCGGAAGAGGATGATAATGATGACCTGGATGATGATGATGATGATGATGATGATGATGCTGACGATGGAGGTGCTGATTACGATGAGGATGATGAACATTGGCTGTTTGTGGATCACAACATCTTTATCATGGACTTTAACGATGATGACGAAGATGAAAATGATACTTGCACCAATCATCATCAGTTTGTGAAATTCCATGCCAAAAATAAAACTAAAAGTGAAATTGATAAACTGACTGAGAAGCGGGGGGCGGTAGTGTGCTGCAGGAATGAAGATGTACCCGGCGATGAGCTATGCGAGGTGTATCATCGTGATGTTGGCTACTTGGTTCTCGACAACAAGAACAGCTACACCGCTGATGAGACTGTGTCGAGACTAGACGTCGACGTCTGTTGCGTCTGCGCCATGAAGATGCTGAGATTCGGAAGCTGCGACAGCGGCAACATTAGTGGCGTCAGTCCATTAGGAAGTCCTGTTAAATTCTGATTGGCTGCTTTGTCGACCAATCAAATATCAGCATTTCGATATGGGGGATTTTTTTTATTTCATTGGCTGGCTCGTCTAAATTTTACGATTATTTCGTTACCGGTGCTTTTTTAAAATTATATTAAGTGCTTTATTCTGATTGGTTAGTTAGTAGAAGGGTAAGTTGGTTCTAATTGGTCAATTTTTTAATTTCGGTTAGCCAATAAATGAGATGAATTTAGCGGTGTGGATATTTTAATGTGATATGTTTGTTACTTGGGAGAAAAATAAATGATTGATTGGTTAGTTGATTGGTTCGTTTGTTCATTCGTTCGTTCGTTCGTTTGTTCGTCATTCTTTCGATCACTCGTTCGTTCTTTCGTTTAGTTAGTTTCAAATCAATTTACTGAATTTTTCTATTTAATTCATTCGGTTATTATTCATTATTTTAATTAATTATTCATGATTTAAATTATTTTTTCATTTATTCTATTTTTCATTCACCTTTCATTCATTTATTATTTTAGTCATCCGTACCTTTTTTTATTCTTTCGGTTGTTCATTCATTCATTCGTTAAATCTTAATAATTATTTAAATGGAGCAAGAATTTGAAAAATATCTGTTTGCACGTATGTGGTGTGTGTGTTTATTAAATTTATGTATGAATGTTTGAATAAATGTGTCATTGTGATAGATTGATTGATAGATAGATAGATTGGTAGATAGAAGATAGATTGATTGATTGATTGATTGATTGAAACATCTAATCTTATAGAATCACATCAGTTGCATGTTGAAGAGATTTTTGAGTTGATGATGATGTTTTTGTTTGTGTATGCTTGTGAGTAGATAGAAGAAGATGATGATGATGAGTGAGAGAGATGATGATGACGACTATATATATATATATTATTATATATTATATATACATACATTTTCCTGTGTTAGACATACTTTTTTGGCAATTAATAATTACTCTTATTTAACTTTCGTTTCAGGTCTAATTTAATTTTTTTCTCTTTTTAATTAATTAATTAATTATATTATTGTTTGATTTTTCCCGATGAATTACTCCAATTATAGGTTAACATTCGTTCACGATTTGGCCTTATTCTTCATCTTTTTTTCAGTCTATTTCAATTTATTTCTTCTTTTTTAATTTTTACTTTCTGTCTATTGTCAGATGTCTTCTCTCTCTCCTTTCTCTCTCTCTCTCTCTCCCTGTCTCTCTTTCTCCTACTATATCTCTCTTACTTTCTGTGATAAATAATTTGTTAGTTGGGGAATAGAAGTTAAGGATCTTATGTAAGTTACGGTAAGTGAGGAATAGTCGTGTATTACTATATTATCTTGATTATATTTAATTATAATTTAATTTTATTATTATCGATTGTATTTATATTATGAGTATGTTTTATACGGATTCAGAGGAGGAATTTGACAGGCTGGCTTAGGTGGTTACGGAAAAATAATAACGGATTAATTACACGTTCATTTTCATTAAAACGTAAAATCTGAAAGAAAAATTATCAAATTTTCATTCATTCATTCATATATTTCTCGTTCAATCATTCGCTCACTGATTATTATTGATTTATTATTATTATTTATATTATTAAACTTGCTACTGGATGACAAATTTCTATGGTACATGTTGTTTTGTACGCTCTTATATTGCATACTTAAGAGAAGTGCTTCAATGACTGGCTGATTGATTGATTGGTTAATTGATTGATTGATTAATTGGTTAATTTATTAATTGGTTAATTGATTGATTGATTAGTGTGGATGACTTGACTGATGGATAGAGCGACTGATTGTTTCAGTATCAGCATCTGATTGGTTGGATAATTAAAATTAAAAAAACTAATTAAGTGAATACATTTCGACGTCATATTTAACTTTATTTTTCCTTTGTTTTCATTTTTCAATTTCTCGGAAATTCCACAGAATTATTAAAATTATAATCCAGACTTTTTGAAGACTCAGGCGCATAAATAAATAATTGAGAAAATTAAATTTAATCAACCTACCGCTTTGTTATTCATTTATTTAATAAAGTTAAATAAAATAACATATATATAATGCCTCTGAATACATATATATATATATATTAATGTGTGTGTTTGTATGTATGTGCGCGTGTGTGTGCGTTTCTAAGGGGCGTTTGAATAAATCATTTTCCATGTGTACGAAAAAAAATTGCATTATTACAACAGTAATTAATGGTAATGAGAATAATATTAAACTATATTAATGATAATTTATAATAATTATGACCATAATAAACTATTATTATTATTATAATTAGCAATAATAATAATGATCCGTTATAATCTTAGAGGTATCACAGCTAATAAATAAAATTCTAATTTGTTTGGGTAAGGCAAAAAATTTGAACAACATACAACCAAACAAAAAATAAGCATCGTAATAAAAATGACAACAACAATAATAATAAAAAAACAAAGAACAAAAACATAGACGAGCAATAATATAACGATAATACGACATTTTGAATGGCAAACAATACAGTATGAAACATAGAAAAGTGAACAAGAAATACACAATATGCCAAAAAGTAACATACGAAGAAAATGCTTCGTCATTATATATTATAATATAATATAATTTATTATAATATTATCTTTATAACATAATTATTAATAATTATTAATTAATTATTGTTAATTATGTTAGTATAAGTAATAAATATGAGCGATAACGACATTTTTCCATCTTTTCATTTTTTTTTTCGTCTTCCAATGTTTAAATAGGAGGTTGATAGAGTTCAAGTGAAAATAATAAAAATCATAATGAAAATAATTAATAATAATAATATTTTTAATTATAATTACATCAATAATAATAATAATGATATTTTTAATTATAATTACGTCAATAATAGTAATGATGATATTTGGCTGATGATATAACTATTTTTCTTTGGTAATAAATGACTCTACAAACAAATAAAAGTAGAACAATTAAAAATCAAAGCTAATGAAACGCAGATAATTAAAACAAGAATAATAAAAAATATGATGATATAAATATGGAATAGAGTATGTGTGTGTGTGCGAGTCTGTGTGTGTGTGAATGTGTGTGTATGTGTGTGTGTAAAAAAATTGAGAAAAAAATCCGTGGAAATATAAATAAATAAATAATAGAGGTGAAGAATGCAAATAAATAAATGATACAAAAGTATAAAAGTATATATTATGTACGTACGTCTGAGAATCCACATGAGTTTATGTATGTGTGCGTTTGTATGTATGTGTGCCTGTGTGTGTGTATGTTTGCACGTGTGTGTATGTGTGTGTTTGTATATATGTGTTTGTGTGTATGTGTGCACGTGTGTGTATGCGTGAGTGTGTGTGTATGTGAGAATGTGTTTTTTTTAAGTTCGTATGAATGTATCTATTTCAGTTATATTCATTGCGAATTTTGACAATATAAACAGTGACGTTAGAATTTGGTTAATAATAAGTGATGAACTTCAAAAATAAAAGAATAAAAGAATACATATCTACAATAAGATGAAATTGACAACAGTAAATGAACTCACAAATGGAAATATAATTATAAAGATTTCTAAATTAGACAACGAAAAATAGAAAACAACGGTGATGATGATGAAAATGAAGCTGATTGCGATGATGACGACAATGTTGTCGGTGGTGATGATGGTGAAGCTGAATGTGATGATGACGACGACGAAGACGCTGATGGTGGTGTTTTTTTTTAAGATCGATGACTACTATTAATAGTAATTCTAACTGATCGCATTATCATCATCATTATCACCGTTGTCTTCAAAAAATGATGAAGACCACGATGATGATGATGGTGATGGTAATGATCACCTTCGCTATCATCATCGTCGGTGATCACGATGTAAACAAAAAAAAAATGCTAATAGCGACGTGACGTCACACCTTTAAAAACAAAGTATTTACAATTTTCTTTCTCAATGCGTTCATGTTAATGAACAAAGTAAACCGTACAACCAAATAATAATAATAACAATAAAATAATAACAACAATAATAAAAAAAACTATGAAATAAAACCGATATTTTACATTTAAAGTTGAACCGTGTTAATAATAACGATGAAAATTAAGGAAAATTTAAAAAAATTAATTCAAAATAATAACACACAACACAATTGCATAATAATTAAGCCAGAGTTTTGAAGCACCAATAAAAATTAGCCAATAAGATTACCGGCCTACTACAAGCCAACCAATCAGATCGCGCGATCATTTAAAACAACTCCTCCCACTATTACGCCAACCCCACTGGGTGAATATTTATTGGCTAGAAGTTGTCATTGAATAGTAAAAATCCGTTAGAACTATTTATAAAAGTTAATTATAACTATTATATTTATTATCACAAGTGTAGTTGGGTTATTTTTAGATGCGGTTATGTTATTGGTTCATCGTAGTCGGGTTATTTTTAGAGGAAATAACGCAATTGGTTCACTCAAGCAGCCAATCAGAACTTCAGAACAGGACTGCCGAGCGGACTGACACCACTAACATTTCCGCTATCACAACTTCCAAATAATAACATCTTCTGAACAGGCACATCCCTACTCTCTCCATCACACATCCCCGCTACTTTCGGTTTCTCGTACGACGATAATAAAGAAACAAATTGGTCGGTTTCAGTTTCAGTTTCATCTCGTTTTAGTTGGGATTCCTCGATTTTGTTATCATCGAGATCCATGAAGAACGGACTATATTCAACAAAGACCCAATGTCTTCCATAATCACCATCATCATCATCCTCATCATCTTCTTCCCCCTCTTCATCATCATCATCATCATCATCTTGGCGCTCGTTATCGTCTTGATTAGCATCAGCATCTTCACGTTCATCATCACTTTCATTGCTATCATCATCATCACCATCATCATCATCATCATCGTCGTCCTCATCCCCTTCATCTTCCGAGCCACAGTAGTTTGATAGCTGACTTGAAAAGATGCTGCTTACGTTGATGTTGCCGCTGATGTCGTCGCTTCTGTCGTTAACTTCGTCGCTGTGGTTGTGGCTGTGGTTGTCGTCGCAGCCGTCCTCGTCACCATCTCTCAGTTGCAACATCTTCATCATCTGATTCTCAAAATTGTTGTTGCGGTCGTCATTGTAGTTGTACTTGTTTCTGTTGCTCTTCGCCTTCCTGCATCTGTTCAATGAATTTCAACAATCTTCACGTACGGTGTCGCAAGATGATTCAATGTTTATCAAGAAAACTGCAGGGAACGGGTTGAAATCCTCATCCCCAAATGTTAACAACATCAACAACAACATTAGCAATGGCAAAAACAACATCAACAACAACAACAACAACATGCTGCTTGCGAAAGAGAAAATTTGCACGTCTGCATGCATCTGCACAAAATATGGAGTAAAAATAAACTGAACAAAAGGTGGAAAGCACGTACGGAGTGCATGGAATGGGAACAGGAGCAGACGGTCTAAACGCAACCGGATCCAACACAGACCAGGGATGTGCCAGTGGATCCGGTATTCGGAGATGTGACAGTGGGTCCACGATCCAGGGATGTGCGAGAACTTGCTGGGCGGTTAGACGTTTCGTCGGATCGACGACTAACAAACCCCGGATGAGATCCTTGGCCCCCTCGGAAATGGAGGACCACTCCGGACCAGACATGTCGTACCTCCCTCTCTTGATCTCCTCAAAATGCTCTTCCTGCAAGTTTAAAGGTATGAGGATGTGTATTGTGTATCGGTGTGTACTGAGAATACATTTGTTTAGAAAGTAAATATTTATGTGTGTGTGTGTGTGTGTATGCAATGCATGTGTGTGCGTGTGTATGTATGTGTGTGCGTGTGTATGTATGTGTGCGTGTGTGTATGTATGAATATTGAATATGTGAATTGAATCGGTCGACTCAATTCAATCAAATTTTGTTTAGTTGAAATGCAGATGAAATTGTTAATTGAATAAAAATTTAATTGTTCAGCATAATTGTCAGTAACATTAATTTTAAAAGGTGAATGTTGGAGTAATTAAAGTAAACGAATGTACAAACTTTTAATCTATTAAGCATTCATTCATTCGTTCATTCATTCCTTCATTCATTTCTTCAATCATTCCTTCAATCATTAATTCATTCATTCATTCATTAACTCATTTATTCGTCCGTTCATTTATTTCGTATAATTATTTTAATAGCCCAATCACTGTTGTTATTCCTCACTGTATGAAATTAGTCACAATGTACTGGCACTAGCAACGGCAAACCATCATCTTTTGACTTTAAAGTACACACGTAACGACCTGCCTCGCAATGCAAACACAACACAAACACAACAAACGCCTACCTTACAATACTCGCACTGATAGTAGTCAGTCCTCATCCGACAGACACAGTTGTGAGGCCGCCTAGCAACGATGGGCTTGAGACCAGACAGCAGAATGAACATGACGACACCCAGACTCCAGAGGTCGCACTGCTCTGTGTACTGATCCGACTCGTACAGCCACACGCTAACCACTTCAGGCGCCATGTAATCTAGTGAACCGACCTGTGATTGGTTGGTCGTTGTTTTTTTGGTTGTTGGTGTGGTTGGTTTTTGTTGTTGTTGTTTATGTTGTGTAGTTTTGGTGGTCGGGGTTGGTTGAACTGTATTTGATGTTGCACATTTTCTGGTGTACAAATTTTCTGATCATCAACAATCGCTAAAGTGAAATCAAACTGAAAAGAACGAAATAAATAATACTAACAGCCGACGCAAAGTTATTCATCGTGGTGATGGTGAAGCTGGTATCATAATCATCATCACCCCAGCAACGACTGCCACCGCTGCCGTCATTTTTGCTGACCACTCGAAGACCACTGAACTCTGTACTCAGATCGAAATCGCACAACTTGACCGGATGTAGGCCGCTAAGGTTTCCATCTTGATTGTAGTTGCTGCTGCTGCTGCTGCCGCTGTCGCCAGGCGCCGAGCACAAGATGTTCTCAAGTTTGAGGTCCCTATGTGCCACGGATCTGTCGTGAAGAAACTTGAGAGCGCTGGCCAAACCGCCGACGATTTTCGAGACGTCCAACTCGGGCAGCGGTCCATCTCTGGTCAGCCTCTCCAACAACGTTCCTCCTGACATCTTCTCGAAAACTAAATAGAAACTGTGGTTGGAAGTTTGTTCAAAGTTACAAATCAATTAATTAATTAATAAGTCAAACAATAATAATTTAAAAGTTACAACAATTGACTGATCCCATCTCATCCAAATTAAACTTACGATAAATAATTAATATAGGTTGGAGAGCTAGCTCAGGCAGTAGGAGTGCCGTTCGTCAAGTTGTTAGTAATTTCGCACTTACCAGGTACGAGTATTGCAAAAATCTTAAACTCTACGTACGTTACGAGCGCATGCACAGATGCGTGTACAACTGAATGATTAGCTCTAACAGTAAACAACGCCTTCCCTACATTGCTTCACAATAACACAAAAACACAAACACAAGAACACAAAAACACAAACACAAGAACACAAAAACACAAACACAAGAACACAAAAACACAAACACAAGAACACAAAAACACAAACACAAGAACACAAAAACACAAACACAAGAACACAAAAACACAAACACAAAAACACAAAAACACAAACACAAGAACACAAGACGCATTCACACACACTCACACACACACACTCACTCACACACACACGCATTCACATAGATATACATACAAAAAACACCTAGCTGCCAAACAAACACAACACACCTATCTATTTATGAATCACAATAGAATCTGACGATTTTACAATAACTAGCACACGCATTCACACACACACGCATTCACACACACACACGCGCGCGCGCATTCAAAAACACACACACACAAACAAACAAACACACATAAAAATACACACAATACCCCACGCATGTTACATACACGTCACCTCAAACAAACAAACGAACGAACGAACGAACAAACGAACGAACGAACGAACAAACGAACGAACGAACGAACAAACGAACGACATAACGCCTATCACTATTTCATCCACAGAAAAACAATAAATGCTTTGAGAAAAGGGTAGTACATTAACCACAGTGCTTAACTAACCAAATAACAATAATAATAATAATGATAATATTATTATTATTATTATTTATTATTATTATTATTAATCAATGATAGTTTTACAAATCTAAAACTTTCCATAGAGATATGATACGGATACAGAGATATAATAACACACACACACACATACAAGCACACACAGACACACACACAGACACGCACATACATACATACACACACACACACACACACACACACACACATAGACAAAAACATATCCACACACACACATACCAGCATGCATAAAAATACAAAGAAATACAAATACATAAATATACAAAGAAATACGAATATACATACAAACATACGCCAATGACGCTATTAAATAACTCTACCCTGATATCATATATCATATCACTTGATATCATATCAAAATAACAATAATAATAATAATAATAATAATAATTATTATTATTATTATAATTTTATCATTTATACAAAAAATTAATCTCAATACTTGCCAAACCATTAGAGATATAAGAGTTATAATAAATATTATTGTCCTAACTTTTCTTCATATTATTATTATTCTTATAATTGTTATTATTGTTATTATTATTACTGTGCATGTTCGTTCTATAAATAGCGCGTTTTATATTTTATTGATATATATTATTAATTATTATTATTATTAATGAAAAATTTAATAAAGCGCTAATTCAAAGGATCTCAAAAAAATATCATGGCATAATCAACACAAATAAAGAGTTATCAGTGCATTTCAACAAAAAAAAAAATTTTAAGAAAAAAAACACAGTCTTCATTATTTCCTTAATCTAACATCGCACAATAAACTATATAAATCACTCAGTTATAACTAAAACAAGTCAGTTCGATGAATTACAACGAAAATAAGTAAGTTTTCAGTTTTCTTTTAAAATCAGGGAGGTTCAACTCCGGATCTCTTAGAAAGGCAGGCAAATTGTTCCAAACAGACGGTCCCAAGACGGCGATGTTACGAGACCCCATATGAAGACACGAAACTGGGACTAGCAGCAGGTTCAGATCATGAGACCTCAGATGCGTTCCAGAAGGAGGTGCCAACTTCTTTGCAAACATTTCCGACAAATAAGGTGGTGCAAGACGATTTATTGACTTGTAGACTAGAGTTGATATTTTGAAGATTATTCTTTTTTTTACGGTTAACCAGTGCAGTTGTTCCAGTATTGGTGATGCGTGATCATATTTTAAACCCCCGACAACAACCTTTGCAGCACGATTCTGCAATGACTGTAATACAGCTAAATGTTTATCAGGTAATTCGTAAAACAGGCTATTACAATAATCAATTCGCGAGTGCACGAAGGCATGAACCAGAGTCTGCAACGTAGTAGTGTCAAGAGATCTACGTATTTGATTGAGCTTTCTTATTTGGTACATGCATTCAACGGAAAGCATTCTAATGTGATCTTTCATTGACAGATTGGAATCTAGAATAAATCCCAGACTAGTAGCTTTTTGGCAAAACGGGATGACACTGTTTTTGATAATGATTGAATCAGTTTCTAGCTTCATAAGCTGTTGCCACGTACCTACCGGCAAAAATTTCGTTTTACTCTGATTCAGTTTAAGAGCATTGTTTTGCATCCACAAATCAACCTTTGATAAACATTCAACCAATCTGTCCAATTCGGCCTGGAAAGTACCAGTCTTACTGGTAACAATGATTTGTATGTCATCCGCAAATGCATGATATGAGAAACCAAATGATTCAACCACTTTGAATACCTCAAATGTATACAGAAAAAACATGACAGGACCCAGAACCGAGCCTTGGGGCACACCAGACAAAACTATTTTGACCTCGGACACTTTACCACCAAATGATACTTGCTGAGTTCTACCAACCAAATACGATTCAAACCACCTTAACACAGCACCAAAAAATCCAAAAGTAACACACAATCTCTCTAACAGTATTTTGTGATTTACACAATCGAATGCGGATGACATATCGAGAAACACCATCATGGACGTCTTCTGTTGATCGATAGCCCCATAGACATTAGACAGAACCTTTAATAGAGCCGTTTCAGTTGAATGGTATTGCCTGAAACCTTATTGATAAATCGGCATTAAATGATTATTCTCTAGGTGAGTGAGTATCTGTTTAACAACCACACGTTCAATTATTTTAGATATGAAAGACAGATTGGATATCGGTCTATAGTTTTCAACATTATTCTCATCAAGATTGTGTTTTTTTAGTAGTGGAGTTATTATAGCATGTTTGCAAGCAGAGGGAAATTTACTTTGATTTAAACACATATTGACAAGGCATGTCAAAAATGGCGAAAATAGATTAATAAACTTTTTGAGTATGTGAGTCGGTATTGTATCTTGTTGAGAAGACTTTGTTGGTGAATTTTTTACTATGTTAATTATATCTTCCTGAGAAACATCTGAAAATGTTGCGAACAAATTTTTGACATTTGATCTGCAATCAGACGAATTAGACCGAACTTTGATTTCGATGCTGTCTATCACCTTACTCAGTTTGTCGTTGAAGAAGGACATAAATCGATCTGGCGTAAGTTCATGCATACTAGAAGAATGATTGTCATTATGATCTCTGCAGAGAATTTTATTCAAAACTTTCCAGAGATTTTTAGGTTTTGTCTTGTTTTCCTCAACAATCCTAGTCCAATATTTGTGACGTTTCTCTGAAAAAAGTTTTGATTTATTTTTCAAAGCACATCTCCATTCCTCACGATGAACTTGTTGCAAACTATTTTTAAAAATTCGTTCTTTCCTTCTACAAGCACGTTTACAAAACCTGCACTCATCATCAAACCACGGTGCCAAATTAACACGATTGGTGACTACCATATGGATTGGTACAACTCTATTGATCACACAATTTATTTTACTGGTAAACAACTGCAGTTCTTCATCAATATTTTCTGTTGAACATGGTTTTGATATTGGAGAGTCGACAACATGTTTAATAAATTCATCCTCATTCAAACGATTCCATAATTTGACTACTTTTTTTATTCTTGACGTATAATTTCGAGTCATTGACAGTGCAATTTTAATGAAACCATGATCAGAGTGGATTCCACTTGGATATACTATACAGTCTTGGACAGAAAGATCGACTGAAGTGACTATTAAATCCAGTGTACCACCATGTATGTGCGTAGGTTTTTTTACATGATTTTGAAACTGAAAATTTTCAAAAACATCAATTAGCCTAAAGGCATGTGGATCGTTAGTCCTTTCAATGTGAACGTTGAAATCACCTGTCAAAATAATACGAGAACTTAATACTGTTACATTTTCCAGCTCCAATATCAGCTCGTTAAAAAATAATGTAGATAATTGAGCAGAACCCGGTCTATAAATAGCGAGCAATATAAATTCCCGGTTGTTGGTTGTAAATTTGACCGCTAAAACCTCAAATGTGACAACTGCAGGTAAATCAATTTTTTTGCATCTCAAACAGTTACGGAAAAAGATTATTAATCCACCATGCAAAGGATCATAATTTCTCACACAATCCACAAAACGATAACCAGGAGGCATTGATAGTGCAATGGATGGATTATCTGAAGACCCATGCCAAGTTTCGGTTACAACGAAAATATCCAATCCATCGTAGATCAAATCATAAACAACTTTAAACTTTGTAGAAATCGACCTTATATTTAATAGACCCAGATTTAATTTAACCCCATTAGAACCAGCAGATATATCAAAACCAAGACCTTCACCACCACTACCACCACCCATCACACTCCTAAAAGCAGCCCGGCCACAACCCAATCCATCAAAATTTACTTTTTTCCCACCGGGAATCTTACAATCTTCCATCTTTCCGGAGAACCGCGAACCTTGAATAAAAAATCTTTATTAGCAGCTTCCTGCATCTTAGCATCATCTAGCAAAATTTTCAATTCACCTCTCTGTTCTTTAGTCAAGTCATGACTAATGCCAATTCGACCAAATTGATCAACCAGAGAACTTAATTTAAAAGTGCGTTTTATAATTTGATTTTTAACAGCGATATTGTCCAACTTGATAAGCAAAGGTCTCGACGTGCCATCAGTTTTTTTACCCAATCTCACAATTTTTAGAACATTTTTATCAGACATGGCGTCATCCGTTAAATGGTTCAAAATTTTGAAAACTCGCTCTTTATCGTTGACACCTTCCGGCAGTCGAAATAACATTATATTTGTTTCTCTATCTTTCACATCGGACGCTTCAATCAAAGTTTTGTGCACATTTTTAACTTCGGCATTAAGAACGTCAACGTTCTTTTTGACTTCTTGACTAAAAACCGAAGCAAAAGTTGACTTTATATCATGTTTTAATGACTGCATCTTGTCATTCAAATCTGACTCCGAACCACCAAGTTTATTTAACATGGCCTCGCTTGAATTAATGGCAGTTTTTATAATTTCCATATCTGACTTTATTGCAATGTTCAAGTCATTCAATTTATCAATTTTTTTTGACAATTCATTTGCTTTGGACAACAACTTGACATTTGGTGTAGTCTTGATGCATATGTCACAAAACCATTTAACATTGCTGCTTGTACGTATAAAAGTAACGACATTATCCGGTATTGCTGTACAAGTTGAATGATAAATAGATTCACATTGGCAACATTGCAAACATAAACTAACTTTCGCAGACTTTGTACATTTAGTACATTTTTCACGTATATCCATTGTTTTATGAAAAACAAAAAACGTATCTCCTAAGTCGACCAAACAAACACCACGTGATTAAAAAATTAACTCAAATTTGCAACAAAATAACGAAATAACTACTTTTACAATTTAAATTAAACAAAATTAAATTAAGCAATTATCCTGAAACCAAAAGCAACTATTTAACAACCACTGTACTAAGATAAATTAAAGATTTTTAATAGACGAAATTAATACTTCCATGCACAGTAAAACTTATACATAAATTTATGATATATATATATATATCTTTATCCTGTCATAATTCCAAAGTGTAAGCCAATAAAATTGTTTACCAAAAATAAAACATTAACATAAACATATATAATAATTAGAATGATAATAATAATAATTATTATTATTATTATTAGTAGTAGTAGTAGTAGTAGCAGTAGTAGTAGTAGTAACTATTTTTACCGGAAGTCATCAAGCCCTATTTTTGAAGAAATGACTATAATGTACAAGTTTGAGACAAAGCCATACAATATAAACTCGTGAATGAATGAGTGAATGAATGAGTGAATGAATGAATGGATAAATGAATGAATGAACGAACGAACGAATAAATGAACGAACGAACAAATAACCGAAAAAACAAATGAATGAATGAATGAATGAACAAAAGAAAGAATGAATATAGTATTATATTCTTGATAGGAAGTAAAGTGTGGTTTTATTACTAACAAGCGTTATTTACAAATTTGAAATTGCAAAAAAAGTGTTTTCTAATTTGTAATAACCAGTCTTTAAAATTTAACAAATGAATGAATAAATGAATGAGTGAATGAACGAATGAATGAATGAACGAATGAATGAATGAACGAATGAATGAACGAACGAACGAGCGAACGAACGAGTAAATGAATAGACAAGCAAATGGCTGAACAAATCGCTGAATAATTGAAAATCAAAGTTGTTATCAAAAGTCGTTTTTATAAACGGTCCAAAACGAATATAATAGTCTCAGCATATGATGGATGGATGGATATGATGCACACACACCCCACACACACACTCCTACACACACGTACGAACACATATACACAGGTACAAACAAACAAACACATACATACACACACACACACACGTAAAAACAAACAAACAAACACAGACATACATACACATAAACACGCATAAGAGATGTACAAACTTATTATCTTCTTCAAAATATTCTTGCAGTGTGACGATGTTCTCCTGGCCCTTGCAGTGATGAAGTATTTCTATCTCCTTCAAGACTTTGTTTCGAGTTACGTTGTGGGAACATTTTATAATCTTTGTGGACGAAAAAATGGATAAACATTAGTTCTTTCATTCATTCATTTCTTCATCCATCCATCCATCCATCCATTCATTCGTTCATTTTTTCATTCTTCCATCCGTTCGTTCATTCGTTCTCTTAATTATCAGTTAGTTCTTTCACTGTCAGTTCAATCATTCAACTATTCATAGTATTTCATTCATTAATCTATCAATGATTCCTTTTACCATCCATCCATTTATACATTCTTTCATTTATTTATTCATTCATTCATTCACTCACTCACTCATCCATCCATTCATTCATCCATTCATTCATTCGATCAGTCAATCAGTACCTTAACAGCAAATTCTTGTTGTTTTTCAAGAGAATAGTACGTACGCACAGTACCACAGGCGCCTTCCCCTAGGTATTCCTCAGTGGCCTGGTATATATCTGGTATCAATAATTATTATAATAATATAATAATTATAATATAATAATAACTATAAATAATTATAATATTAATAAATAATATCAATAAATAATAATAACTGTTGACGTTAAATATATATTTATACCTGAAAACTTCTTAATGCCATATCTTGGAAGTCTTTTCCTTCTAATGTTGTTGTTGTTGTTGATAATGTTTTTGTTGGTGAAGCAAGTGTTGAAGTTGATGTTGTTGTTGAAATTTGTCTTCATCATCTTCATGATGTCTACAGACATTATATTCAAGTGATAGCAGTAATAATGTTGTAATGTAATCTGAATAAATGAGTTGATGAGTGAGTGAATGAGTGAATGAATGAATGAATGAATGAATGAATGAATGAATGAATGAATGAATGAATGGATGGATGGATGAAATAGAGAATGAACAAATGTATAGAATAGATAAATGAATGAAACAAAGAAAAATGTACACACTGACAGCCCAGCAAATTTATTCCTGTTGATAGCACATATCCATATCATTATAAATCTAATTCTTTTTACTATTCCAAATGAAAATTATACAACTCAAAACAATAATAAATTTTAATTAAATCAAAGAATAAAATACCTTTTATTTCACTTTATAAGCAGTTCAAAATATCACAAGACTATAAAAGTATACTAATGTACAGTACAGAATTTTTTCACAAATAATAAATTTGATTCAATTATAATATTATCATGATAATTGTAATTTTTTTATTATTTTGTTATTATATTATGCAGAAACGAATTCTTATAATTTGAGAAAGTTGACTTTTACCAAATAAGAATTTAAAAAAAATTGTCAACTTTTATTAACTTTCTAATAATTAAGAATTTAAGATGATAAGGCCAGTAAGCTGAAAAGACAAAGAAATTCGGATATTTGACTAAAACAAAAGCAATTTTCTCTTATTTCTAACTCGTTCAATTCAAATTAATCATTCTAGATTTTAAATTGAAAATGGCCGAAATATTTACTTCACAAACGCCAGCAACGTTCGCCAAATCCTCGACCGCACCCCAACCTCCTAATTTCACTAATCCTATTGTTAAAGTCTGACGAACTATCGGCAGGTTTCACCTATTTATACTCCAAATCTGTTTTGTACAAGGCTTAAACAGCTGTGTTTATCATGGCGGCTAATTAATATTCATGAGAATACTTGCTAATATTTGATTGGATGATTTAAATTACAAAAAAGCTGATTAATATTATATTTTTTTGTACTAAGCTGTGGTTGGTTGATTATATTTAGAGTGATTAATTATTCATGAGATAGAATAAACAGTGTTCTGGTAAGTTCAAGGGTAGTTTTTTTGTTTTGCTTACATAAACACACAGACACGTACACAAACATACACACACATGCATACAAACACAAAACACATACATGCACAAACTTACTAAAACATACACATATATACACACACATACATACACACACACACATATATACATAAACACACCCACAATAGTTTACGCAATAGTTACACGTATTTCTTTGTTGTTTGATATTATTACGACATACATACACACGCACACACAGGCACCCACGCATACACACGCACACATACACACGCACACACAAACACAACACAATGTAGCAACACTGCATAAATTACGTTAGAAATTTCATCATCATAAACACAGCCAGCAATTAGTAATAAAGAAAACCGGTATTGTTAATACGTGTATCAAAAGTGATGCAATAATAAGAATAATAATAATAAGGATGATGATGATGACGACGACGTTGATAACGACGATTACGATGATGAAGATAGTGATAAAATTGTAATCAATTATTTTGTTTTTCGTCTGTCATGGAATTTTTATAAAATTCGATCACTCACTAACACGCAAATATTTTACTGAGTAAAATACATCTAACATACATCTTACATATAAAATAAACAATCGACAAAAAGATGTTGCCTTAAAATTCATCATTATTTTTTTCTCCTGCTTTTCTGGTGTTCTAGTTCACCTTCGCTATAAATATTTTTGGTAGATATTTTGTATAAAAATCCTCATAAATATATATTTATGGCTATATATGTGTGCTTGTGTTTGTGTGTTTGGTGTGTGTATTTTATTATTTTAAAACGCAGTAATTGGTTGTTTTTGGTGCTAAATAGCTGATGACTTCTCAATGTGACTTATTGGATATGTGTGTTCGTTCGTTTTTGTTGTTTTTTGGTCCAAAAAAGAGCTTTTCTTTCGACCAATTCCATAAAGAATTTTGATAAATTTCTAAAATGTATGAAAATTTGTCATAAATGTTGTTTAAAAAACGTGAAAAATAGCAAATTTACCTTATTTTAAATTATAAATAGCACTATTTTTATTTGTACAGTAGTTACAAACATATAATACACAACACTGAAATGCAATGCAATATATATATATATATATATTTCAATGCAAAATAAAATTCATTTGTTCAAAAATTAAATTTTTCATTAAAATTACTGGAATTTTACGACAAAATTTTTTAAATTTTATAGTTACATTTTTCATTACGTTACATCACCAGATAGACTGATTTCAACTTACATTAACGCTTAAACGTTATTTAAAATAATAACTTCCGGCATTATCAACCTTGGTTAAAATCGCAAATTTTCATCAATATGTTTCTTGCTGTTTCTAGAGGCATTCAATTAGCGGCGGTAACAATTTAAAAGCATTTTTGAATCACATTTATTAACCTACTAACTTTACTTTTATAAAGCTTTACTGATTTAACGATTCACTACAAAACCAACTAACCAATTTTGATTTTGCTTTTTTGCAGAAACAAAGTGTCCAGCGATTTCATCTCGGGACTGCCAAACAGAGCCATGATGTTCTCTTTGTGGTACGTTTGGGTCATTTTATTAGATAAAAATGATAAAAATAATCAAAAGTACTTCTCTTAAAAATTAAATCTCTAAACTAATTACTAATCTAAGAAGCAAAAACATCATTAGATTAGCATTAGACATTAGAAGAGAACTAGAGATTACATTAGTTAGGATTAGTTATTTTTATTAGTAATAAAAGAATCAATAAATAAATTAATAGTTCATAATCTAGCAATTAGTGACAAATCAATCTCTCTATTCTATAATATTGTTGTATACTGATTTTAGTGTATAATGTTTGTTTATTTATAAAATGTTGGCCATGTAATATTTATAAAATACTGATTTTACCATATAATATTTATAAAATAAAAACTTCTGCGACATTGACAGCATAGAGACACACCTGAAAACAGTTCAAAAACACCTTTCCAATTGACTCCTGAAAATTTAAAAGTAGCATTTTTTCAATGCTTATAACTACTTTTACAAGTTCTAATAACTTTTTATTGTGTAGAATTAATTAAATCTTATTTTTTGCTAATTATTTATTAATTATTTAATCAATTAAATTATTTATCCATAGAGAGTTGAGTCAATTCTTGCAAACTACCCAAAGGGCTTTGAACCATCAGCCATCATACCAATGTTAGATATATGCCAGAGACAGCATGGTTACTAATAATTATTTATAAATATTATTTCATTGTTTTAATTATTTTAAATTATGACCACCAAGTTATATGCAATTGGTAGTTACAGATTATATTATGCCGAAGAAACGTTAGATGCTACCGATAATGTAGTTTTGCAGTCTCTAAAAAAGAGATCTAATTCTAACTAAGCTTATTTCGTTTAAACTTTACATTACTAAAAAGTTTTAAAATCACTTATAATTACCTGAATCCTAATTATAATAATATTAATGATTATAACATGGAAATTATATAATAAATGATTGAATTTTAAATGGTATTATTAATTTTAATGGCTAGGTTGGCTGCCCATATCGGCGATGAACTACGTGGCAGACTATTTAAAAGTCTCGAGAATGAGGATATATGAAGTCGCTACATTCTATACCATGTTCAAAAGGTTTACTATAATTATTTGTAGTTGTAGTAGTAGCAGCAGCAGTAGTAGTAGTAGTAGTTGTGGCATTTGCTTCTGTGGGGGATTAAGTTTTTCTAATTTATTTATCACCTTAAACTTTGTTTATAATGATCCTAAATTAACTTTATAGGTTTAGAAGAAAGATTAAATAGATGTATCAGTAAATAAATGAATGAATGAATGAAGCAATCAATGAAATAAACCTACTAACTTAACATTGCTTGCATAATAATTGCAACAATTTCTTGTTCAGGGAGCCAGTGGGGAAATACCACGTTCAAGTATGTACCACGACACCGTGTATGGTAGCTGGCTGTGGAAGTGGCGCCATCTTGGACGCCATTAAACAAAAACTCGGTTCAGTATAATCCTTGCATAAACAGTGTTTATGTTTTTCATTTTGTGTGTTTGGTGATTTCGTTTTGTGTCTTTTCTTTGGTTGTGTACTGTCCTTGTTTTTTAATGAATAAACAGTGTCCATTGTTTATAAATTTACTAAATTTATGTGTTGTTCTTTGCATTTTTCGTTACATTTATACGTATTTTGTTTTCTTATTTAGCACTTTTGCTTAAAATTTATAATTCTCACTAAAATTAGGGATAGATGTAGGCCAGACGACTGCCGACAAAACGTTTACATTGGGTGAATGCGAATGCCTCGGTGCATGTGTCAACGGTCCCATGCTTATGATAAATGATGATTACTATGTCAGTTTACTATTTTTTCTATTATTGTTGTTGTTGTTTATCAGGTGTGACAATATTAATTTATCTTATATCTGATTTTAGATTATTTAATAACTATTTGTTGACTAACTATAACAGTGTACCATGAATTCATTTATATTATTTTCTGATATTCATTCATTTTCTCATCCATTAATTCCTTCTCATCACTCTCTCTTACAGGAAGACCTGACAGCCAAAGATGTAAACGAAATTCTCGACGATATAAAAGCTGGGAAGAAACCAAAACCCGGACCTAGGCAGTAACCTTAATGGCTCAGCTTGGCTCTTAAGCTGAGTCGATAAAATTCTAAGCCGAGCCAAGCTGAGCCGTAAAATTGATGATTGTGCTGTGCATTTTGCAGTAACGGAAAAAAAATCATTTTAATATGCTTAGAATTTAGGTTTATAAGCGCTTTATATATTAAAATTTCGCTCTCTTTACATACGAATGTCGATATCAAATTAAAAAATGCAGCTGGTAGAAATTTAATAAGTAATCGTTGATATTTGCGTTGCGCAACGACATTAAAATCAGATATAGAGTGACGTGGCACAGTATCTATCTGTTGTAGACAATTGAAAATGTTGGCAATTTATCGTGCAACACAGACACGCCAGTTGCATGATTTTTAAAAAACCTGACACTTTGAACCACGACACTTTGTTATAGTTAAAACAAATTGATACGATGAAAAAAAACATTCCTTTTTAAATGAGTTATTTGCTTAACATTAACAGCAAATATTTTAAGATAATTTAATAAAATAACCGTGCAATTTAAGATTCGAGGCGATGGGGCTCCTTATAGCTAGATATTGATTTCGGCGATAATCTTCCTCTCAAAAGAAATAGAAATAATAGAGAAGAGAAATGCTAAAACCGTTTTAGTGACGTTCTATGTAGAACAAATTTTGAAGCGCTAAATTCTTTTTAGAAATAATTTTCTTTTAGTAATTAAAAAATCACTAAACCCAGATCGCATTTTTATCCTACTAATTAATAATTAAAATCTGACACAATCCGGTTTTACACGTTCCTTTCTCTCTTTTAAAAATTCTTATTTTCATTGATCTTTAGTGTATATGAAAAAATCAATGATGCTAATGTTATTCAATCATTATTTAACATTGATATAAAAGGTAAATTTGTGTATTTAGTAAATTTTTAATTGGTTGACAATAAATAATTTTCTTTCCCTAATCAGGTCAGGAAGATTTTCGGCAGAACCATCCGGCGGTCTGACTACCCTCAAAGAGCCCCCATACGGACCCGGCTTCAAAGTTCTCAAAGAACTATAGGTAAGAAAATGAGAACAAAAAGAGATGAGAGAGATAAAGTGAAAGGAGTAAAAGAAAGAATAGTCATCACATAATTCAGTAACCATGAGTAAAAATCATATTTCAGTTAAAAGTTACATTAATTTGAGTATATTTTTAAGTAATTGTTATTGAAATTACGGGCTATTATTCTGATAGTAATTTCAATTGCTATTTATAGCAGTAGTGTCGTTGACTGAGTAGTTAGTTATGATTAAAAATTATAAGTTACGGTAAATTATGGCGAATGAAAGATTGTTTGTTGTAAAAAAAAAAATCGTTTAAATTTTAAAAATTGCGAGTCAAATTTTTCACGTATGTAGTGTATTGTAGTAGTGATATATAAATACTACGGAAATATATTTTGTTAAGTAATTAATCAACTAACTAAAGTTATTTTTCCTTTTGTTTCATGTTCATTTTTTAATTGTAATAAATAGGCGGTTTGGCTGTATTTCTGTTCGGTTTGGCCATAAATTTTCAAGTTTAAAAACAAAATAGAGAAAACAAGCTGATTTAGGATTTAAATCAAACGAATTTACCTAATGTATGGATTTGTTGCAATATTGTGTTATTAATATATATATATATATATATATATATATATATATATATATATATATATATATATATATATATACATATATATATATATACATATATATATATACATATATACATTTATATATACATATATATATGTACATTTCATTACCTATACGCATGAATATGAATATATGGTATAACACGCGTGGTATATATATATATACAATTATTTATAAAAATCACTGCGTTTTCGGCATTATTCATCTTGTAGTTGAATCTTTATAAATAATTGTATTAATGATAGTCTAAACCCAATATATATATATATATATATATATATATATATATATATATATATATATATATACATATGTATATTTATAAGCGACTATGAAAATGATAATATAACTAGGATGATAAATTATAGGAAAGATGAATTCCTATATAACTTTTCTAGAGAGGTGTCGTTTATCATCTATTTTCGCGCCATTGTATCTTCAACATCGTTATTGTCGTCATCATTTTCTTCTAGTAGAAATTCCGCTATGCTCCCCTTCATTTGGCAACTTGTGTAGTGAATAAAATTAGTTTAAATTGTTTAACTAGTGACGTGCTAGTAATTTTCGAGTAAGAAATCATGTCTAGGTAGATTACATTATTTAAATCTTCAAATTATTTCAGAAATAAAACAGTAATACATACGCATATACACCGGGGGTAGGCAAACTTTTTGCTGTGAGGGCCGCATTAGACTATTTTAACTTTAAGGGTTAGAGTTATATCTTTAAATAGACAATTTTTCGACCCGCAGGACAATTTTTAAAGATTTGTGGCTCTTTTGTTTGGTCATAATGTCTGGCAGAATTTTTTGGCTAATAAGGCCTCTCGCGAGTTTGCCCATCCTTGATATATACCATATGAATGTACATGTTTGTTTATATTTAGTAAGTGTTACAAGAGTAAGAGCTGACATGTTTTGTACCTATTCAGCGCTGCCCTGGCACAGTTTAGGACGCTTGGAGGTAGTGTCTGTATATCGTTCTATCAATTAATTAATGAATTAATTTATATGTTCAATTAATCTGTTGATCAAACAATCAATTATTTCATAATAACTTGCACTCAATCTTCCACTAATCCACTCATTCATTCACTCAACCGACCATCAATCGATTTCATCAAATCATTCAATCAATCTGTAATTATATTCGTTGTTATAACCATCAACATCCGACAACAATAACAATAACGACAATAATAATTATAAGACAGCATCATAATTGAGCCAACCAGATCCCTCATAATGATCCTACAGCCATAGCATGCCACACTCAGCAAGTCGGATTTTTCGATGACAACTCTGTTGCTATCATCACGATCACCATGGCTATCATTATTATTATTAATGTTACTATTTTTATTATTTTTCTTCCGTAGTAGTTTCTCATTGTGAGGTACCTCTAGAAAATCCTTTAAAAAAAGTATTGAGATAATTACATTACAAATTACAACTGAAGGGAATGTCTTGAGGGAGTACTGTCTTGTCGTTATTATCGAAAGAGCTAAAGAGAGAGAGAGAAAGAGAGAGAGAGAAAGAGAGAGAGAGAGAGAGAGATAAGAAAGAGAGAGATTTAAAAATTAAAATGCCTAAGACAACTTATCAAAAGTCATACAAGTACATATTTCGTCAGCACTTATATTCGTGACCAGTTATTTTTTAAAATGAAAATAATACTATCGTTGACTGAACCTTGCATAAGCAGCACCTGGCTCTGATGGGATTATTATTATTATTGCTATTATTATTATTATTATTCGTAGTGGTAGTAGATGTAGATTTGGCACTAGCCAGTTTTTCCCCAGTTCTGAAAAAATGAATTTAATTTAATTAAGTAAATAATAAAATAATTAATTACCTAGAGTTATTATTTAATATTATTGAAAATATGAGATGATTATTAGGCAATAACACAGGCAAACGCACGTACACACAGATGAATAAACATACACAAACGTACACTAACTAAATAAGAAAACCAGAAACAACCTAAATATAATAGATAGCGTGTTCTCATTTTCTGACTGGAGTCTCATGATAAAATCCTCGGTTAAACTTTGAATACTGTCGTTGTTGCCGTATCCTAACTTCTGAAAAATAGGAGGTGGGAATGTGAAAGATTACCAGTAGATGAATATGTTTGTTGCGTGGTTGGTGGGGAGAGCTATTATATCAATCAATCAATCAGCCGGTCAATCAACCAAACAATCTCTTTCTATCTATATCTATTTCTGACTTTCTACAAATTTTTCATTACCACCATTTTGGTCAGTCTCTTTCTCTCTCTCTCTCTCTCTTCAATAAATTTACTAAATTTACAATTAATAATTTTTAAATGAAAAACTAGCCACGGGTGTAAGCGATGAGGAAGGTGGTACCAAATAGTTGAGCTTTTCAATTGATATGACCGTTTCTATTTCGTCATTCAGAAACGTCCTATTGATTTCATTTATTTATTATTTAAATAGATTTATTATTTAAATAGATTTATTATTTAAATAGATTTATTATTTAAATAGATTTATTATTTAAATAGATTTATTATTTAAATAGATTTATTATTTAAATAGATTTATTATTTAAATAGATTTATTATTTAAATAAATAGATTAAGAAATGAATGATATTAATAATATTAATTAATGTAATTTTGAAATTTCTAAATGAGTAAAAAATGAATATCATCCCCAACGTTATCATTAACTAATATATATCATCTGATAATGTATAATCATTGATAATAATACTTTATTATTAGTATTTTTTTATTAATATGAGTAAAAATAAAAGAAATAAACTTTTTTTTCTTACGACCTTAGTGGTTTAACGAATGAAACCCCATCACGTCTACCGTCGACGAAATCCTGGTTGGGGTTAGGGAGTTTAACAGGTTGAAAGTGGTTTTACGAAATTTTACAAAAATTGAACCACTAACTCATTCGTTCGTTCGTTCATTTGCTCATTTCATTTTTTTATTAATTCATTCATTCATTTACTCATTCTTTCAGTCATTCACTCATTCAATAACAACTATAGTGTCGATCAAAAATCAACTATCTAACGCTAGCCATAGAATCATAGCTCACCAACTAGCCAACCAAGGAAATCCATCAACAAATTAACTACGCCAACTCTATCAATCAATCAATCGATCAATCAATCAATCGATCAACCAATCAATCAACTAGCCAATCAATCTATCAATCAATCAATCAACTAACCAATCAATCTATCAATCAATCCACTAACAATATCGTACGACAATTGACTTCCCCTACCCAAAGATATATTAGAAATCAGACCACAGGCTAACATCTCCATGTTATCACCCACTAATATTTTATCTATGTCCAATTTTTTACAAATCTTTGCTAGCAACTCACGCCTAAAATAGTTTATTTTCATCAATATTACAATTAATTATAAACAATAACGACAACATTAATAAACAAATAACTAAATAAAACGCCATAATTTGTATTTATTTATTTACATAGTAACACCTTAGCAATAAATTCATTGACAACTGCGAACTTCTATCTTTAAAATTTTTATTATTATTCTTATTATTGTTGTTATTTTTGTTGTTGTTGTTGTCGTTGTTAACATTGTTGTTGTCAGCAAGTCTGCATTTAATCATTAATTTTTCAACAGCCTCATCAGCACCATCACTTTTATCATCGCAATTATTTGTGTTACCATCGTTTCCATTATTATTATCATTATTATTAATATTATTACCATAATTATTATTATAATTATTATTATCTTTATAATTATTTTTATTATTTACATTTGTTAGAAGGGGCTCCAATTCAGCATCTGCTTCATTCAGATATACCTGCGACAACATACGAGTCAATTTTTATCCATGTTAATAATATTATGGTTGTTATAATTTTTAACATTCTAAATATTTTTATTTTTTTTATTATTTGCTTATACTATTATTTGCTATTAACACATACACCACTACTACTACTACTATTACCACTACCACTACCACTACTACTACTACTACTACTACTACTACTACTACTACTACTACTACTACTTATTACTACAACAACAACTACTACTACTACTACTACTACTAATAATAATAATAATAAAACAGGAAATACAAAATGACAATGACCTGATTTAGCGCATAAACATAATACGGCATGTTCAATGCTTTCAACTGTCTGAAGAGTTGTCCGACACTTTCTTCTGTATGGCTCGGCTCTGAGAGATATGAATAATAAGAAGGATGATGAAAAATAATAACATTGCAGAAGCAACCTGTCTGCTACTATTATCACTAATGTTAATCCTCATTTTAATTACCCGATTCCTTTAAAATGAAAATTTGAATAAAAAAAATTAATGCTAATACCGATATAATCACTGTTAATAATGTAATTATTACTTCTCTGCTATGCTACTTATCTGTCTTTAATGTTACTACTATTACTACTACTTTTACTACTACAACTATTACTACTAATAGTACAATAGTTGTCATTAATATTGTCACTAACATCAATAATAAGTAACAGTTCTAACCGATAATGCTGATTAAGGTAGATTCAAATCTCAATTTTTTCTGCGTTCTTTTGCTACGCCCCTATCGGCAGAAATAATTAATACACAAACAAGCAAAACAGAAAATTTGAAATATCAATAATAATATTAATAACAAAAATATAATAACAAAGAGACCTCTTGCACCAAATGAACTAAAACAGACGACTTCCTCCCACCAGAAAATGACACGGCCACATTTTCATTATCCCTAATTAAGCGAGATTTTCCAAATTCTGATCTGAACTTGTGGGAAACTTTTATTAAAAAGCACCCCCTGTGTGTGAAAATGAGAAAAAAAACAATATTACAATGATAATAATAATAATAATATTAGTAGCAGTAGTGATAAATTATATATCATAATGATGAATATTTTTCTAACTTGCAAAATGAACCATAGAGATTTTGGGTTAGAATAATATCTTCTGAGCCACATTTACAAAGTTTTGGTCTGGAAAAATAATAATAATAAAAAATGAAATAAATAAATGATAATCATATTTTTAATACACTTATTTACTTATTTAATAATTATTTCAATGCTCAATCAATTTCAATTTAAAAGTTCAATGCTTCAATTTCAACCAAAAAACCTGATAAAACTGATATAAAAATATTAAAATAAAATGAAAATGATCTGATCTGAACTTCAGATTCTGATGACTTAAAAAACAAAACTTGATTTGATTGATGAAATGAAACTGAACTGAAGCTGAAATGATACACACCTCGTTGATTTTTCTATTAATTTAGCCGCATTCTGACTGCAAACTTCTTCCTCACCATCGTAACTAACAGAACACATGAATAGGAGAATTTGGGTAAATAAATTGATTAAAATTTAACCGAAAACAGCGTAGGCCGAAGCACGCGAACGTAATGTTATTTTATTTACAAACTAAAAGTGGAACTAGGTTATTATCAATTAAATATATATATATATATATATATATATATATATATATATATATATATATATATATATATATATATATATGAGGAGTTAATAATTTCATTTGGTTTTACAATCTAGGCTCCGACGATGGCATTAGCCGAAACGGCCGTCAGCCAAACTTAACTTCACAGTTTAATAAAGTTGAAACAAAACAGCTTCGTATTGTTGAAATTTTATTTAAAAAACTTCTAACTGCAAAATGGGGTGTAATCTTCAACCGAACATGTTTATCTGAGAACCTCATACCCAATTATATATATATATATATATACCCTCTGATATATATATATATATATATATATATATTCATGTATTTTATGTATACGCATGGTGCTACTTAAGATTGATAGCTGGTTATTTTAGTCGTAAATGGGTTTTTTTATGTAGTTACAAACAATTAATTGTAGTAATTTTACTTAATCACAACTAAATTAATAACATAGTGGTTCTTACACAGATGCTAGTCTACTGAACCACTTCAAAATATTATCATTATTATTATAAAGCTTGAAAATATATAACTCAAACCGTAATGTAGCACTATCGATAACAAAATTTACTTCTTCCATTATAATGAAAATAAAGTTGGACACAGCATTTAGTCTAAATCTTCCCTTCCACGACAAAGCGGCTGTTTTCAAGGAATGAAAGTGTGGATTGTGGATCATGTGTCGACTTCAAAACCTGCACGATCCACTGTGTCTTTCTCATACTAAAAATCACACGGACAAGCTCAACCAGCAACATGGCAGAGAATTTAACCTTTCGACAGCATGATGCAGCTATGAACCTATAACTGACGCGACAAACACAGACCCACTCACCAAAGAAATAGCAAATCGAATCCAATGGATGATTGACAAAGCAATGGATTAATACCTGTACTTGTCGCTTCACGATCAAGTGTAAAACCAACTTAAAACATCTAACCAGCAGTCCCACCACGCTTCGTCTTGAAATTCATTTGCCTGCCAGCTCACCACAAACTAATCACACGCCAACAGTCCTGAGAAAAGCCAGCCTCAATCATGACATCATAGCCTTCATCGTCTTCCAAAGCACAGACCAGTTAATGACTTACTGACAAACTGATGAACAAAGCCAAACGATGCAAAGCGCTCATTTCAGTAACTAAGTACTTGCAGTGCAACGTACGCAGAGAGCAAATACACAGCTGAGTAGCCTGCTTGTTAAAAAAAACTTAAAATCTAAATATTCACTAATAACGTGGAGTTGTAAAAAAAAAGGTTAAAAAGAAAACTTAAATATTAGGAAAAGATTCGGAAGCTAAGCCATTATACAATACGAAAGGTCTTTGTCAGGTAGCCAGTCTAGCGTCACGTTGAGACGGAAAACCCAAAAGTAGGTACATTTTTAAATTAAGAAAAAACAATAAATCTAACCAAATCAATCGATAAATGTAAATAAATAAGGAAGTGATGCTTATTATATTTATCATTATTCTCTCTCTCTCGCTCTCTTTCGCTCTCTCTTTCTCTCTCTCTTTCTATATATATTTCTTTCTATTAGCTTTCTATAACATAATTTTATATACATACGGTAGCAGGAATATTGTTCATCAGCACACTTAACTACTTACCAGCCAACCTATAAAAAGGAATGATTACAACAATAACTCCAACAACAACAATAATAATAATAATAACAAGCAAAAAAGATGTATAGGCAGATTTTTATGTAGTAATGTATATGATGCCAAAAGCATCAAAGTCAAATAAAGGTTATTATTGATCCTTTATAAATGAGATTTTATTATTCTTTTAATTCTGATTATTATTCTTATTCTAACATTCTTCTTCCTCTTCTTCTTCTTCTTCTTCCTCTTGTTGTTTTTGTTGTTGTTGTTGGGGTGCGCGGATGTATTGAGTCATGTTAACAACGATTTCTTCCAGTGTTTTTGCTGTCTACTTGTTTACTATTGTTATTATTATTATTAATGTTGTTATTATTATCGTTTTTGTTGATGATGATGCTATTATAGTTGTTGTTTTGTTATTTTATTGTGTTGTTGCGTGTAAGATTGTTGTTCTTTGCGATCTAGTATACCAGGTGATTGATGCGCATTAAACATTTGCTATGCTGCAAACTCCGATTGTCTTCATCGTCCTTATCATCACCATTTTCACCATCATCATCATAATCACCATCATCATCGTCATCATCATCTTCTTCACCATCATCGTCGTCATCATCAACATCTTCACCATCATCATCATCATCGTCATCACCATTTATAACATCATCATCATCATCATCACCATCAAAATCATCATTATCACTTTCAACAACATCATTATCATCATCTCCTCGTTTGAGCTCCGCCTATATAAGCTCGGCAAACGTAGAAGGAAAAATAGGAAGGTAAAAAAATATGAAGAAATTATGAAATAAATAAAAGATAAGGTAAATAAGTAATAAACCTAAAAAATTAAATAAATTAGAAATGGAAATAGATGTTAAATATTCACTTTTCGACGCCTTAATTAATTGGTTCCTTTTCACACCTCTAGTGGTGGCATTTTGGTGCGGTACATACGGCCTAATTGACATTCTACTATTCGACCTAATCGATTCACGACAACTCGCAACGATATTCGTCCTGCTATTCGGTGTTTCAATCGAATTTACGATAACATACTGGCAGGATAAAATTAGCGAATTCGCAAGAGAATTAACCGGTATAAAATTCGCTTTTTTTTCGCGAGGTTACAACTACGTCCTAGCTACAGCTAATATATGCCACTATAGAGCTATACAAGAAGTTTACGACTCCATATTCGGTCCGGAAAATTTCGGCGCGTGTGTTCAAACAGCTGTTACTTCGATAGTTTTGCTCTGGAGTTTAAGAGCTGGACGAAATATAACAGCTCTGCCGTTTTGTGTCAGCTTAGATTCGGAAACTGAGAATTGGTTTAGTGCTCCAACGCTATATCAGTTTCCGGTTGGTTGGTTGGTAGGTTGATGGGTTGATTGGTTGTTTGGTTGGTAGGTTGGTTAGTTGTTTGTATGGCTGACTGTTTGGTGTTTGTGTGGTTGTATGGTTTGGTTGTTTAGTTGCCTATTTAATGTTTGTTCAAAATGTAATATACACATTGAAGAAATTATTTTTATGACAGAGCAAATTAAACATCCATACATAAAATATTTCAGACACACACATTCAATAAATATTTTCCAACAATGCTAATGATAAACTAGCACCTCAACTAACTATCCCTATTAAGACAAGCAGACGATACAGCTACCTATGTGACGTCATAATAACAGTGATGTGCGTGTGGTCACTGGCCCCTCTACACTGGATAACCTTTGGATATTTTCTCGATCATGTGATCTTTCCGGATTTTCCGGAGCTATCCTCTGCAGTATCCTGTCTGCTCGGATATACAGTCGTTGCGGTCTTCAGTTACTACCAGTATGAAATAAGGAACTGGTCCAAGTACTATGATAATGAAAAAAGGTCTACTATGTTGTTTTTGTTGTTTTGTTTACACTGCTGTTGTTGTTGTTTTGTATCGTTGTTCGTGTTTATTTTGTTGTTGTTGCTGTTGATTATGACGACGACGATGATGATGTTTGAAATGATGATGATAATAATTATACTCCCATAACAACAAACCACTAATCAAAGCGAGCGGGTGCGCCACGCACTAACAGCAAATCTGTTGCAGAGTGCAAGCGTTTTTATTCTTACTGTTCGTTGTTATTGTTATTATTGTTTGTTATGATTATTGCTGTTTTGCTGTTTTATTGTTGTCAGTAAGTGTTATTGTTGTTGATATTTTTTTATCTGCTTTTTTTTTGCTTTTGATTCGCTTGTTTGGCTCATGCAACCAGCTAACACATTTTCAATGGTGATGATAATACTACTACTACTAATAATAATAATAATAACAAGAATGAGAATAATAATAACAATCATATTATCCTAATTATTATTACTAATCCGCCCAACTCCGCAGAATGATAACAAAAACATTTCTGGAAAACTTTTTTATCTGGGGTGCTACAGCTGGCGTCATCGCAACGTGGAAGGGCCTAGGAATGGCCATAGATATGACATCAAAAGCGCATCCGATCTATTTAAATGACGTCAATATTTCATCTCTATGCCTCAACGTTATATCATTCACATTATTATCGCTCTGCCATGTTTCAGCGTCTTTGGTTGCAAAAGGAGCGGAAATGGATGGGAGCATTGCAAATGGCGACGGCGTTGAATTTTCCCGCCTTTATTTACGCCATTTTTATGAAGATTACATCAAAAAGGAAAAGGCTGCTAGTGTTGCTAAAAGTAAAATCGATTAAAATGTGGTATAGAATAATGAAAAGAACGTTTCCCGTGTTATTACAACAAAGACATTATGTTCACCTTTCTAATTTTCCGTTATTTCATTACTTTTTATCATATTAAAATTAAAGTTAATTAATTAATTAACTAATTAATTCACTAATTAAGTTTGTAGCTTGTTTCATTTCGTATCATCATTAAATTTTTCAATCATGTTTCTCGCGAATGGTTGACGTCAGTAGGCCAGCATCAGCGGCAGACGCCCTTGCTGGCCTGGCATCCGGTGTTTCGACATTTTCTTTCGACAAAAAAAATTAACAAATAAATGAATAAAATGATCAATCATCTTATATTTTTATTAGAAAGTCATTTTTTCTTAATTACTTTTATTTCATATAAAACTATAAAATTAACAATATTAGCTATTAAATTTTTCAACTACTACATAGCATTATTGTGTTCAAAGAAAGGACAAAGCTCTTTTTGATTAATAACTTTATTGTATGTGTAAACAGCATTAAACAACATAATATGAAAAGTTATACAAACACACACACACACACACACACAAACACACACACACACACACACACACACACACACACACAACTTAATTAAATAGATGTAACTGTGTTAGTAGCAAACGAATTGATATTATTGCCGTAAAAATGCAAAGCACAGTCAAGATGGCGACGTATTATAATAAAATATCCACGCATACATTCATAATTTACCTATATAGGTAAAGAGTTAACAATACTCACAAATTGCACCACCAACAACGATCAGATATTCTGCCGACTCCAGCACTGAATCTCATTTCACGGAAGGGAGTGTTGCCTGCAAATCCAGTGCAGTGCCAACACTTTTTGTATTTTTGGACGGTGTCACGTTCTTAATACACTGTATAATTTATTTATTTCTTCACTTCTTATTGCAAAGTCAATATCGTAATTGTGTTACTACGGTGTTAATACTATAAAACACACACACACACACACACACACGGACACAGACACACACAAGGACATGCATAAATAAACTGCAAGTTAGGTTTCAAAACATTGAAATAAAAAAAAGTGGAATTAATACAAAAAATTGAAAGACAATAATTTCCAATAAAATTATAGCTTAATATTATGACGAATATTAATTTCACGGGCGGCATGGTAGCGGTTAGAGGCTCCTGGTTCTGCTGTTACAATGACCGGGTTCGAACACAAAGAGATCCCCGGCTATCACATGCAATGCGTGGTTTTAACGTGTATTCATATACGCTATGAGTGTGTGTGTGTTTGTCGTTGACACCTATGAAGTTGGGGCACAAAAGTGGATGACCTTTAACCTTATTATTATTATTTTAAACAAAACATGCTGTTATGGAATGCTTATGATGATGATCACGTCCGGACGAAAGCTGCATATAAATAATGATGATGATGATGAAAATAATAATAAGAAGAAAAAGAAGAAGAATAATAATGATGATGACGACGATGATGGCGAATGTTGATAATGATGCGATTTGTAATTGTTTATACGAATTATTGGAATAGTTGATGAACGAACAAAAAAAAAACCAAACAAACGAATGAATGATTAAATGGATGGATGAACGAACGAACGAATGAATGAATGAAAAAATTGATAAATGAATGGACGGACGAATGAATGAATAAATGAAAAAATGGATGAATGAACGGACGGATGGATGAATAAATTAACAAAGGAACAATTAAAGCAAACTTGTTAAAAGAACATAATATAGTAGTTTTATAAGTTTTATAATGTAAAAATAATGTATGAAAGCGTATATATACACATATCACACACACACACACACACACACACACACACACACACACACACACACACACACACACACACACACACACACACACACACATATATATATATATATATATATATATATATATATATATATATATATATATATATATATATATGCTGAAAGACAGATAAAGTGAACGACCATTTAAAAAGAGTTTTTTGTCTAATGCGAAATGATTGGTTGATGGTAATTTTTGATTTATGTTTTGATCTAAGTTATGTTTGGTTGATTCAGATGAATGGAGAAGAAATGAATGAATGATTGAATAAATGATTGATTGATTGATTAATTGAATGAATGAATGATAGCCAACCGAACATATGATTCATTGATAGCAATTTTTGATATACTTTTTGATTGTAAGGTTTGGTTTGCTTAATGGATAAAATGAATGAATGAATAAGAAAATGAACAAATAAATGATTAATTGATTGATTAATTGATTGATTGATTGATTAACCAACCAACTTATCAACCAACAAACCAGCTAATCAACTAACGAGCCAACCCTCAACCAATCAATCCGCCAATTTTTTATAAGTACCAGTACCACACGATGAATTAACTTCGCAAGAGGCCGTCTGCTTGTTACCAAAGATATTTTTAGGAAGGTCAATTTTGTAGAGCTTCATTTCTTCGAATATCGAATCGTTCGCCAGGAGCGTGTGTTTCCACAGCTGTTTGTAGCGGATTGATTGATTGAATGAATAAATGAATGAATGAATGAACGAATGAATGAATAAATCACTGAGTGTAAAAAAAATAGATGAATAATCGCATGAATGAAGAAATAAATGAAGGAATGAAAGAATATCACTTGAGCAATCTCGTCACCAGGTGGAAGGTCGCCGTCCAATTCTTTGGGTAGATACCTCTTATCGAAGACCTTGTGAAGGCTATCGAGGGATGAACCGTGGAAGTTTAACTGGAGTGAACAATTATCATTAGTATTCATCCGTTCACCCGTTCGTTCATTTCTTCATTCATTCATTCGTTCGCTCCTTCGTTCATTCATTCATTTATTCGTATATTATTATTTTTAGTATAAGAAGTAAAGAAAATTGAAAACATTACGAACTTAATCTGTAACAATTTTTTAAATTCATTAATTGAATAAACGAATGGATAACTAAATAAATTGAAAAAAGAATGAATGAATGAATGAATGAATGAATGAATGAATGAATGAATGAATGAATGAATGAATATCACACACAACACGCACACGCACACGCACACACACACACACACACACAAACGTACTCTCTGAACAATCTTCTCCTTCAAGAATGGCTTAACAAGGGAGAACAAGTAGCCAAATACTGTTGGCTCGTTGATGAAGTGAAAGCCTTTGAAACGCATTGGAAAGGCATCCTAGACATGAAACAAATTGAAATATTATTTGCATCTTAAATAGATACAGGTAATTAATTTATTATTAATATTATAATTTATTACTTATCATTATTTATTACTTATTATTTTATTAACTATATTTATTTCTCTTAAACATTAATATTTCAGTCTTTGTTGAAATTGCTGAAATGGGGAGAAAGCATTTGAAACACATGTACATTTTATAATGATAATAAATTATATAAAATATAACAATTATAGTCATAATAATAATTATTATAAAAAATTATACTTGAATTATGCTGCTCATAATTTTGATATAATTTCTGTCGAAATTTTTGACATGATCCATTGTCATGTCTGACATGTTGGCTATGCATATGACACCATTGACTTGAGTATCTTCCTCCTGTCATAATTTATAATTATATTATAATTTATTCATTCATTCATTCATTCATTCATTCCTTCCTTCACTCACTCACTCACTCATTCATTCCTTCATTCATGCATGCATCAGTTAATCAGTTATTTTTGTATTAATCAATAAATTTTCTTACTCATGATTGTATAATTTAGCCATGCATATATTATGAATTTAATGCAATGAGTGGCTAAATTATTAATAGATTTGTTGTAAGTATTTGCAAATTATTAGCAGATTTGTATATTAATTAGCTTATTTGCATATGTTAATCTGCCCTATTATTAATAAATTTGCATATTAATTAATTAGTAATATTGATACCTTGATAACCATCTCTAGAGATAGCATGTTAACTTTTAAAATCTCCATCATTGGCATGCTAGCTGGGTTCCATTTGCCTTTATAGAAAAAATTTATAAAAAAAAATTAAAATTCACTGATTGGTCGTTTGGTTGGTTGAATAATTGATTAGTAGAAAGATCCAAAAAATAAAAATAACCTGGTCTAATATACATAATCCTTCTTCCCTGTGAATCCTTATTAGGGAACATGCAAGTAATTCCACAATCTAGTAGTTCTTTGCACATGCTGGGGACTAAATCTTTCAGGTACTGTGAGCTGTTTGCTCGAGCTGTGTAGTAACTAATTAGGAGGTTGTAGGCTCTCTCATAGTCAAACTTTCGAGCTCTCAGAAATTTTATCAAATGGCCACCATCTAGTGGACATTTTAAGGCTGGACAGATAAATAGGTGGGTGTCTTTGTTCAGTTTGAGAATTTTTTTTGAAAAAATGAAAAATAAAAAAGTAAAACCTTTATTAGCAACCACCATATCCCTGAGAGCCTGGATATCTCTATCTCTCCACTGAGCTTTCTCATTTAACTCCTTCTCTGCCTTTTCAATTAGTGTCGGACTCAACGTACAGTTGTACTGCTGAATCTCTGGTGTTCGACTGCTTGCTGAAGACATTTTTCTCAAACTCTAATTTCAAATTGAATTTGGTTGAGTAAAAAATAAAAATCCAAATGTTTCATTCAAGATCAAGTGTTTGAAATTCAAAACAAACAGGTAAGTGAGGTTAAGAAGCAATTATTTATTCATTTGTTTGTTTGACCTAGATCCCATAACCAAGAAATGAATAAATAAAAGTTAAGTTTTTCTTATTCAAAACAAAGTTTAGTTAGTGACAGGTGAACGAAGGTGATGTTCGTGACGATTCGAACTCAGCGACTGTAAAAACCGATTAAATCAAAAGCACATAATTAGAATAAAAGTATTTATCAAAAGTATTTAAAGGTTTCAGTAAAAGAAAAATTATTTATTATTGATCCTACATTTTAACTGTATTGAGATTAAAAAGTGTACTAAACAATAAAATATGTTAATGATCTTCATCATCAAATCGTAATGCATTAACGGTAACAAGAAAGTTAAAAAATCGCCGAAAATCCATTTATGTGCGCATTTCAAAAATACTTCTATATTCTAATAGAAAATTTTATCCTTTAAAATAGCATGTAAAATAAAACTGTCCCCCGTTTCGTACGAACTTCCAAATATTGAATTGAACGCGTCACTCATAAATTTTTTAATTTGCGTCCAAGGTAACGAAAAAGTTGGAAAATCGCCAAAAATCCATTTATGCGTGCATTTCAAAAAGATTAAAATATTCTAATAGACAATTTCATCCTCTAAAATGTCAGATAAACAAAACTCTCCCGTTTCGTGCACACTTCCAAATATTCGATTGAACGCGTTTGTGTTTCAATTTCATGTGATTCTTAATTGCGCCATGTTGTAGGTGCATCGTGAGTCTTCTCGATAACTTGGTCGTCGTCATACCAATATATTCGGAATTATAAAGTCCACACTCACCAATATTACATTTGAACAAATATATTACATAGCTATGATCCATTATCGATTCTGGTTTACTAATGCAGCTGTTTTTCATCACAAAAGATCTTTGGTTGGAGTAGTATATTCGTTGTTTAATACTATCGGTTTCGTTTGTTGCTTGCACGTTGGTTTTTATGATTCTTTTCATGATGGACGTTGTTTAGTGATTCTATCTTATTCTGTTCTCCTGCTTCTTATATTAGAAAGGTGCGTACAGGCTCGGTTTACAAAGGCAGAGATCGTGCTCTCTAGATAAGTTTGACAACATTCACTATTGCCATTGCCAAATGAGGCATAAACTTTAATTTGTTGCTATGGTTTTAAATACATTTTGCACATTTTGTATTAGTACGTCTAAGAATGGAAGTTTATTGTCAGTTGATTTTTCCATTGTAAACTTTAATTTTGACGAATTTAGTCGTTGTAGCAGTCTTGCTATTTGATCATCATCTTCATATGTAGGTAACAAAAATATCGCCAATATATCGGCAGTATCTATTAGGTTGAAGCTCTGGCTCTTTTTTAAATAACATTTTTTCGATATATCCAACATAAAAGTTTGCGAAGAGTACTCCCAATGGAGAGCCCGTTGCTACACACCGTCCATTTGCCGGTGTTACCCGGGCCAACGAAAGGCGCTTCGACTGTACAAGACACATTCTTCGTAGCACAACTAATCCATCTTTTGGAATAGGTAGTGGTGAATGACTGGAATTGTATATTCTATCTATTATTATGCTGATTGTGTCCTCTACAGGGACGTTTGTAAAGAGTGACTCCACATCCAAAGGTCCTTTTTTGGTGTTGTTGTGGAAATTCGATTTGCAATTAAAAATATATCAGCGGAATTTCCTTTTGAACATTTTTGTCCATTTAAAAAGTGATGTAAAAAATTAAAATATGCACAATTGTCATTAGTTTTATTCAAATCATTTTAGTAATTTAAAAAAAACATAAAATTATGCATTTGAAAAATTAATTAATAATTTGTTGTTTTAAATCATTTAAATCAGTTTTTACATTTTTCAAATATTTTTGTGGTTTTTGGTATTACGGCGCATCTTGCTCGCATTTTCGTGAAAATAATATTTGTTTAAATTGGAACAATCTCTCGAATTTAAATTTATAATTTAATTTTATTTCAGTTATTCATAAAATTTAATTTGGTTTTTCATTTTGGCTTTGTTTAATGAAGTTGCTTTCAAAACTGTCTCGAACATTTTTTCTTGGTTTTTAAATGTTTGTTTACTAACTTAATCCAACCAACCAACCAAACCAAAATAAAGATACAAAAACAAATTAAAATTAATTAAATTAAAATAAATAAAACAAATCGGCAGGACAGGATTTTTATCTCCTAATTTGTTGTATCCAATTTCTGTTCAAGTTCTATATCCTAATTTGTTGTATCTAACTTCTATATTTAGTCACACAACATGTCAACAACAAGAGGAGCATTTTATCAATATGATAATTATGGTTAGTTAGATTTTCCCCATCTGGGTGACAATTTTTCTGCATTTTAATTTTTAAAAATTAAAATTTATCAAAATAAATGTTTTATTTTATTTTTCAAAACCCTAAATTTTCAGATTATGAAGTTTTATATTTATTAATTTTTCAAGGGGCATTTGATTGGGATGAATATTTAAAGGAAAGTGGTGAAAAAGCTGCTCCTCATTCGTGCTTTAAACAGGTATTCATTCCTATTCACTACAACACATCATACAGTAATTCTGTCCTTAAATATCAATGTTTAAAAAATTCTCAAATAGAGTTCAAATAAATTTCCTAATAAGTATAAATTAAAAAATTCGACTTTTAGAGCATCATTCCACCTGTAAATGAGTTTAAAGTTGGCATGAAGCTCGAGGCATCTGACCCAAGAAATTTGACATCAATATGCATTGCTTCGGTGGTGAAGATACATGGGCCCCGACTCGGCTTGAGATTGGACGGTAGTGATGATAGAAACGATTTCTGGAGATTAGTGGACTCTGGGGACATTCATCCGATTGGGTACTGCGAGAAGAGGGGTGATCTGTTACAGCCCCCATTAGGTATAGCCATTACTATATTTTTTTAAATCAATAATTATTTCTGTTTAATTACTTTTTTTTATCTCCATTTACTTGTTATAATTTAGTATAATTTTTTATTGCTCTTGAGATGTTGTTATTTTTGTTTGTTCAATTTAGGTTTCAATAAGAACCCTTCGTGTTGGAAGTTGTTCCTACAAAGAGTTCTTAATCAGGCTACTCCAGTACCAGAAAGTTGTTTCAAAAAAGTTAGACGTTTCTTAAAAACATTAGTATAGCATTCATTACTAAGGCTGCATCTTTTTTTTGTCATTTGTGTAGTCTTTGATAGAAAATAAACTTGTATAAAAGAAATTAAAATTATAATTCCTTGTCACAACGTAGAATTATCAAGTTTGGTCTAGGTTATTGCTAAATTTGGTATTGTTTATAAAAATGTTTAATTTTGTTAACTTGTAGAATTATTATATTTTGCTGAGGTTGTTTATATAATTAATACATTTTCTAGTCTTTTTTCAGAATTATTAAGTTTCATCTTAAACTGTTTAATTACACAGGAACCGCCCACTCCTAAATCAAATGAGTTTAAAGTTGGGATGAAATTGGAAGCAGTGGATAGGAAAAACCCGCACCTGATGTGTCCGGCAACTGTCGGAGCGGTAAATGGGGACATGATCCACGTGGTGTTTGATGGCTGGAAGGGTGCATTTGATTATTGGTGCCCGTATGATTCGAGAGATATCTTCCCTGTTGGATGGTGCAGGAAAACCAATCATCCTCTGCAGCCTCCAGGAACAAAAGGTTAAAGTTTAAGAGTGTATGTATGTGTGTGTTTGTGTGCGTGTGTGTGTTTGTGTACGTGTGTGTATGTGTGTGTTCGGGTACGTGTGTGTGTGTGTGTTCGTGTACGTGTGTGTATGTGTGTGTGTATGGGGTTTTTGTTTTGATACTGCGTTATGTATAGTCATTTTAATGTGGATGTTTCTTTTCTGTTACTCTTCCCATTGGGATTGTCTAGTCATATTTTTTAGAATCTTCAAAATGTTGCTCCCGTAGATAAAGAAAAAAAGCCAAAAAGTAGACACTCGAAAGAAAACAACAACAATAATAATAACAACAACGACACCAGCCTGCCACCAGCATCGGCGGTGATGTCCTCGTCGTCCTTGTCGTCAAAATCTGGTGAGTTTGCTAAAAGGGCTTAGTTTGGTTGGGATGATTTTGATGATGATGATAATGATGATGGTGATTATTATTATTATTATAATAACTTATGTGGCTTATCAAATATTGATTTAATAAGTCAGTTGGTTACATGTTGAGCACAAGCTGAAAATAATTTTCACATTTTATTATTTTTGAATATTATTTTCAGCCGTTGCATCATCATCATCATCATCAGCGGCCACAACATCAACAACAACAACAACAATGAAATCATGTGATCACAACAGCAACAACAACAATAGCAGCAGCAGCAACAACAACAACAACATAGAAACAGCAACTACTACAGCCCATGCAAATATCATGGTGAAGAAGGAAGTTGAAGATAATTACACCAACCCAGCAGCACCAACGACAATCATAATATCATCAACTGCCACATCATCAAAGATGGCGATGACGTCAACCACCACAAAGCAGACAATGTCTTCTGCTGAAGATAGGATGCCTGTCTTAACTAGAGTTGTTGAGCCAGATACCAGTAGTCTATTGAGCAGTGAGTTTGTGGTCTGATGAATTGATTGTTTGATTGCTTGGTTGTTTGTTTGGCTAATTGATTGATTGATTTATGACTGAAAAATTATTATTATTATTAAACGTTAATATTTATTTATTTATTTATTTTTCTTCTACATTCAAACAGATGAAAAGACTGATGCTGCTAACAAAGATTCAATAGGTGATTTTTTTTAAATTCATTCAATTTATATTTTCATCCTGTCGTCATAGTACATTTATTACTATTCCGATGGATGTAATTTGTATATATATTCTCATGTGTTCGTGTGTGTGTTTGTTTGTGTGTGTGTGTGTGTATGTTTGTGTGTATGTGTATTTGAATGTATGTGTATAACGCCACTTGTGCAAGTCAATAATAGTCAATAATTAACATATTAAATGTTTTTTGGAACTGCCAATATATATTATCTCCCAGAGTTATAATTAGGGATTGTTAATTATGCCAGTGATGATGATGATGGCGGTGATGATGATGATTGTTTTCTATTTGGGTATTCAACTGCAATTATTTTCTTATTAAACACAGATTGGCTAATATAATTTATGTGTGTGTGTGTGAGAGAGAGAGGGAGAGAGAGAGAGGGAGAGAAAGAGTGTGATTATGTGTGTGTGTGTGTGTGTGTGTGTGTGTGTGTGTGTGTGTGTGTGTGTGTGTGTGTGTGTGTGTGTGTGTGTGTCTGTGCACGCCTGTCTTTTGCTCATTATATGTAATTGTAAAGTTGTATGCTGATTGTAAAATTTTTCAATATACCAGTACAATAAATCATTTGACAAATTTCTCATTTGAATAATTTTGTCATGAAATTGTTTGATGATTTTTTCTCATTGTTTTATTTGTTTATTTCTTCCTTCATTCATTCACTCATTCATTCATTTATTCATTCATTCATCCATCTACCGCTTGATACTTTCACTTTCCCTTTCTTCTCTGATTGATTAATTCACTGATTCATTCATTCTCTCATCTAACTATCTTTCATCGACCTGTGTATCAATCAATCAATCATTCAAACAATCATCCAAACAATCATTCAATCAATCATCAATCAATCAATCAATTCACTAACCTGACAACAGTAACGACAAAAATTATAAAAATGATGATGAAAAACAGCAAACAAAACCTTAAAAATCAGTCACAGTGTACGTCAACCCTGGATGCTACTGCGGGCCCACCCTGATCCCGGCTCTGATTAAAAGTGAAATGCCATCTCAATTTGGGCCCATCCCTATTCGAAGGGGTCTCCAGCAGATCCTACAATGTCTGATGGCCTGCTCGAGAGACCAACAAGTTATTTTTAATCTCCTGGAAAGTGGAAATGGGCGGGTTGTTATTCAAGGTCGGTCGTTTGACGATTGTGATTGGTTGATTGGGTGGCTGGCATGTGATTGGTTGATTGTGTAGCTGGCATGTGATTGGTTGATTGAGTAGCTAACTTGAGTAGGTGATTGGTTGGTTGGGCTGGCTAGTTGATTTGTTGACTGATTATTCACGTAAGGCCTGGCTTTTTTTCTATAATAATAAAAATAATTATTATTAATATAATTATTATTAATATAATTATTATTTCCCCAACCTGCTAGCTAACATAAATGGAGAGGTGAGGCAGAAGCAGTTGAAGGTGATTCGCAAGAGTGCAACCTGCCACATGTTTCTCAACTACCTGCTGACTCGGCTGGGCTGCTGTTCTGGCTTGCTCACTCCCACACGACAACCCTCTGGAGACTGTAAATTATGTAATAATGGTAATAATAATAATATGAATAATAATAATAATAATGTGAATAATAATATGAATGATAATAATTATTACATGGCCAATTCAAACAATACGAATATTAACGCGAACTGTATGAACGGTAGTGCTGTTAATAATGTGGTGGAAGGTAAAAGTGCATCACCGATGATGATAATGATGACGAATCATAATAATAATAATTATAACAACAACAATAATAAAAATAATAACATGGTGATTGATTCTCATGACCATCATATATCGACGAATGGCGTTAGTAACTACAAAGCATTGGGTGCCGGTGGTAGTTGTGGTAGTATGCAGTCATCGTCGTCGTCAACTGTTCTACCAACATCAGCAGTAGCAGCTGGGTTATCTACAACACAGTTCAGCAACAACATCAATAATAATAATATAAAGACAACGTCATCAACAACTACGTCGTCATCGGCGTCATCATTCGTATTTCCACAACAGCAGCAGCAACAGCAAAGGACGGGAGTGAAGAAAGAAGCCCCAATTAGCTTATCCACCCCGTCTGCCGGATTCACTAATCGAGTGTCAGGCATGAAAAGAAACTTTTCTCCTGATTACAGTGCCATGGACCACGCCAGCGACACCGTCTCCAGCACAAAAATCATAAAGCACCATAACGGCAACAACTTCGAAGTCGAAGGTGGTGATGATCCGTCTAATTCATATTATTTCCTGCTAATTAGAGAAAATATAATTAATTTGTTAATTAATTAATTAATTAATTTGTTAATTAATTAATTAATTAATTGTGTAAAACGCAAATTTTTACAAATAGTAATCTCAAAACCAACCAACCAAACAGACAGTCCTACCACAGCAGAACTTCTCAGACCCACGCCATCCGCTTCTTCATCATCATCATTATCATCATCAGTTACACAATCGTCATCATCAACATCAGTAGCTACATCATCATCATCATCATCATCATTGTTTCCATATGAGCCGAGCACCTGGTCGATCGATGATGTTATCAGGCACATCAGCAAATCTGACACTGCCCTCCTTCCATTCACTGATCTCTTCAAGAAACACGTTAGTCCTCTACTCTTGGTTTCATTTCAACTCTTTCTCTTCCATCTCCCTCTCTTTCTCTTTCTATAATTTCTCTTTCTAAATTCAAGAAGTAAATAAATACACACACACACACAAACATACACATACATACCTACCTACATACATACATACAAACATACACAAACATACATACATATAAACAAACATACATATAAACAAACATACATATGTATACACACATACATGCATACATTCTTGCAAACAAACATACATACAAACAAACAAACATACATGGATACATTTCTAACCTCACCTACCTAGGAGATAGACGGCAAGGCCCTGCTACTACTGACCAGTGACATGATGATGAAGTACATGGGCCTCAAGCTCGGCCCAGCCCTCAAGTTATGCCACATCATCGATAAGCTGAAAGCGTTCAAATAAATTTAACGATTGATCGTAATTTGTAATTATATTAACTATGAGATAAATATTTATAAATGTAATTTTATTGCTATGTATGAATGGATCCGGATCCATTGGCTGGTTGAATGTTTAAAAGGTTAAAGCCATTATCTGATTCGTTGGTCGATTGAATGACTGACTGATTGATTGGTTGATAGCATGATTGATTGATTGATTGATTTGATTGATTCCTCGTTACGACAACTGTTAGATCGATTGATTGTGATAATACCTTACTGACTTTTTAACTGTTTTGATCGAGTGAATTGATGGCTGACTGATTAAAATTGATTGACTGACTAATTGACTGACTAATTGATTATTTAATTGATTGATTGACTAATTGATTGATTGGTTATTTAATTGGTTGCTTGGTTATTCAATTGATTGATTGATTGGTTGATTACTGATAAAATGTTTGTTCTTTGGACACATCCGTCGGTTCTGTAATTAATTCTAGTAACAATGTAATGTATAGAAGCGGACACATACTTGTCATTCATTCATTTGCTTTTCTTTATTAATTGCAAAGTTCCATATTGATTTAAAGGGCATAGATATGATATATAGATGTGTGTGTATGTCTATATGTGTGCGTGTGTGTGTGTGTGAGAGAGAAAGAGAGGAGAAAGGTACTTTTGAAAAGTTATAATGTTTCAAGAGAAAATCGAGCAAGTATTGAAGTTGTTGTTTTAATTCTCTTACTTCATCTTCATTCAATTTTTTTTACCAATTATAAAGTTATTTATATATGGAGCTAGATTCAAGAGTAAATTCATCTTACGTTCGCTTCTCTTTCTTTTTTTGTTTTCAATTCACTTTATTTCATTTTTCTTTGTTCCATTCATCGTTCAGAAGTCAGTTTAAATGTGTGTATGTATGTGTATGCACATGTGTAAGTAAGTATATATATGTATGTATGTATTATTTATTTATTATTATTTAAGTTATTATTATTATTATTATTATTATTATGTAAGATACCATAAAATATGTATATAATGTTATTAACACTATGAATATTGCATCTATATAATAATAATATCTGTGTGTGTGTGTGTGTTGGTGTAATAATAATAACGATAATGATGAGAGTAATGATAATGATGATGATAACGACGATGATGATTTAGTCAGGGTATCAACATCTACAGCATATCTACTATCCAATCATCTACCCATCTATGGTTTCACAAAAAAAAAAATTTTTAGGATAGTGTGATTGAGTGAATTGATGAATTAATGAATGGACGAGTGGATATGATGAATGGCTATGATGAATGAATGAATGAGTGAGTAAATATGATGAATTATCGATTGATTGAATGAATGAGTGAATGGATCGATAAGTGAATGAATCCATTTCTTAACAATTCCACTTAACTCTTAATCATTGATTTTAAATGTTTATAGTAGAGAAAATTTTCTTTTCAAACTGATCAATTAATCAGTTAAATCACCTTGTAGATAAAAACGCCCACAGAAGCAAAAGTAAGCCGACATTAAAAAAAATTCATTTCTATCAATTAGTAAAATTAATTAATTAATTAATTAACATTGATTTTAAATTATTTATATATAACTAAACAATTGTTTTATAATTTAAAAGAAATCATTATATTTAAATAGTTCGTAGTTTAGAAATCACTGCAAATGATGATAACACGCATATTGTGCCAAGTTTTTAAGACTACAGGAGAGAAGGATACACATATACACGGACGTAAACTTTAAAATGAATGAATATAGCAGCGAATTCAAGAGGCACTTAATTAATTAATTATCAATTAATTGGTTGATTGATTGATCTGTGGCATATCAGTTAATTGGTTGATTGATTGATCTGTGTCATATCCCTTTATTTTAAGTTATTTAACTAGGTAATATCTTAATTAAATTGTGCATTCTTTACATTAATTAATTAATTGATTGTTGAAAAATTAATGAATGCCGACAGATAAATGAGTAGACTGATGAATGACTTATTAAGGAGTTAATTCACTAAAAAATACGACTGTTCATAAACTAATCAATTGCTGTACTAATATGATATATATATGTGATATATATATATATATATATCACATAATATGATATATATGTGATATATATATATATATATATATGATAGTCTTTAGGTTAAGGTCATTCATATATTCACGAGGCATTGAGCAAAATAATTTTAGTACTAGAGTTATAAAATCTTTCTTCAATTGTATAGACCACATGCAATTTGTATTGTATAAAGTTTATTAGTAGATGTATTCGTATATCAAGACATGCGCATGGATGTATCAATCAAAATAGAAAGTTAACTTGCATAGATTGAATTTAACAGGAACAATGTAATAAATAAATTAATAATTTAAGTTTAAAATTTTGAAAAACCACGAAATGAATGAAAGAAAGAATTAATGAAAGCACGCATCTGAAAAAGTCAGGTTGCCCTGAGACAACTTAGGTAAAATGTTTTTTAAAAGTAAAAAATTTTAAAATAAATGATTGATAAAAGCTAAAAAAAACAAACAATTTTGATACATAAGTGCATATATACTTTATGTTAAATATAGATAAAGTTAAATATCTAACAACGAACAAAATGTAACGAAAATTAAACGAGAGTTTAAAACTTAACAAACAAAGGTGAGATTGCATGTGCAATTATACATCAAGTGAATTAGGTTGAACCTTTTGAAAATAATTCTTGAAAAATCAATCAATAAATAAATGAAAACCAAATCATTTACATTTATTAAAAATGTACCAAAGAATAACTAGCGACCCCAGGACTAAAGATACATTGAACGCATTTTTAAAGGCTAAATTATCTAGAAGTCTATATTTAGTATCTTCCTCATCCTTTTCCTTTTTTATATCTTCCACGTCATCATCGTCGGCGTCGTTTCCATCTACGTCACTACCGTATAAGTGGTGGGGGTGATATGTTTTTGTTGATGGCTGGTTTTGTTGTGATGAGGATGGAGTTGTTGATGTTGATGTGACAGACGTTATTGTAGTTAATGTTACTGACGTTGTCGTTGTTGCTGTTGTTGATGTGTATTTTGTATGTTCATTCTTATTATCTCCAACTTCAAACATTTTAATGATATTTCTGACACTGACAACATCCTTAACCCTTTCGGTCATATTATCGTGGCTTCGTTCGTCCTCTCTTGCGTGTTCATCATCACAGATGGCTCCAAGTCCTTTATTTTTGTTCTCTCCGTTTATATTTTTAAAATTTTCATCATCTAGATGATGATTGCCTCTTGTTGGTTTTTTATCTTTGGCGTTGTCATCATCATTGTCGTTGCTGCTTGCTTCGAAAGACGAAATGATGTCACGAACGTCGTTTTTTGTTTCTTTCTCTCTATCGCTTTCGCCATTTTGGGTTTTCCCATTTTGTTGCTGCTTAATAACATCACCGACACTACCATTATTAATATTAACATAGTCGTTGTCATTGATTGTTGTGGTTTCAACAACAATGACATCTTCATCATCGCCTTCGCTTTTATTGGTTGTCATTTTGATGACGTCATTCTCATCTACGTTCTTACTGGTTGTCGTGATGGTGTCGGCGGCATCTTCCCCATCTTCACGGTCAAAGGTCAGATACTGGCTAGCAATACTGCTGCTGCCCATTTCCAACTCTGTCACTGTGTTCTAAAAGTGTATTTTGATGAAGTTTGGAATAAAAAGCGGTGATAATTTCTGGAGAGCAGTGAAAAAGGTTAGGGAAAGATGAAAATTTAAAAAAAAATATTGTTGAAAGAAGCAAGTTTGAAGAAATGAACGAAATTTAAATCAAACTTCAAAATTTAAATTTATCTATGTATCTATTCATTTATCTATCCATCCATCCGTCCATCTAACTATCTATCTATCCATCTATCATCCAACCCATCTGTCTGTTTATCTATCTACTATGATGAGAAAAATTAATACATTGAATGATATTTTTAAAAATACCTACCCAGCCCCCATTGTTGACTATGAAGTCTCCGGCCTCTGTCTCGAGCATGTTCGCGATGGACTCTGCAATGGTTCTTGTGTACCTGACACCATCTCTTAGACAATCGAATAATATCCTCTGGCCCAACACTAACAGCAGAGCCACCTATTTTAAAAGTTTTATGAGTTTTTTAATTTTTTTGTTTGTGATATGTTTTGAGGTAAAGAGAATTTAATCAGATTAATGAGATGAATGGTAATGTAATTATTTAATCTTGAAAAACTAACTCTCGACCAGCCGGATTCAATTTTAGTAACCAGTGAATGGACGGCCCGTCTGAGGACGAATTCTATTTCCTCATGAGCACCATTCAAGTGCCAGATGACGTCCTGAACTGCTGCATTCAAATCAGCTTCGTATTCGAGGTTCACTTGATCTCCAAGGGCCCTCAATCGTTCGGCAACTTCACTTTCCGGGATCCGGATTGATGATGACGATGAGGAAGGAAGAGGAGAAGGTGATGGTGGAGAGGAATTATTCAATGGTAATGATGACCCTGAGACTCCATATATTGGAGGTGGTGGTGGCGGAATGTTTTCGTCACCTCTTACTTGAGGTAGCAAGACCGGGGACATGACGGAGAGTCTGCGCGAGGAGGAGGTTGAACTCAAGTACTCGTCTGCAAAAGATAATGCAACCAAATTAGTGAGTACGATGAAAAATTTTAATCTGAAGTTTACATTTTTTAAATACATCATTAGAAGTCTGATGTAGACATGAAGCAGCTTAATTTGGTGTTAAACCTGAATCACAAACACATCTCCTTATTCAGACAATTAACAAATTTCAAAACTACTTAAAACTATTTAAAAAACAAAAAATTGAAAAGCAAATCTCTATTCTTAAATGCCAACAACTGAATTTTTAAAATTAGAACCAAAGATTATAAAAATCACCTTCAAGTTCAGTGAGGGCCTTGTTAATTTCCTTCTTCAACTCCAATGTACTTGAAGGAAGATCTGGTGAGCTGATGACTTCCTCATCGTTTAGATCAGTGATGTCGAAGTACGTGCTACAGAGCTTGCTGCTGGTAGACATGCTTACACTGTTCTGTCGACTGTTAGCTGTTGTCGAGATTTTGGGACTTAGCGGGGAATCAGTTTCAAAAGAAGGAGAATCAAAAGAATCAAGAATATCATTATTTGAAAATGTTTTTCCATCAAATTTATCTGATTTCAGATGTGTTGTTGAATAATTATAAGAGGACACAGGAGATATAGGTTTGAAATTATAGAACCTGTTATTCTTGTCAAAATCTTTTTGAGAATGATTCTTCAAAGAAACCGAAGGTGATTCAAATATTTTATAATTTTTTCGCTTCTTTATGACAGTAACAGTTGGATAGATATTTTCATCTTCTGCAATTGTTGCCATGCTGGCAGGATTTCTTCTTTCAGAAGATTTTTGCAAGAGTTCCTTGAACAGATAATCACTGAAAACATGCTTTTCCGGCTTTCTACCTTCAGAACCTGAGTCTAACTTTCTGACTTTCTGCTTAACTTCCTCATTTACGCATCGGACCCTTGCAAGATGTGCCTCTGAATCTTTCAATTTGTCAATCAGCGAAACCGAAGGCAAATTTTTCAAACTTTCATTCTGCCATTCTCCATCTCCCGAAAGTTCACTTTTCATCGTGGCAGACGTCTGAGCGGGGACCAAACCTAAAAAATTGTAAACGACCACCCTGGTTTGGTAGGAGAATTCCTCACTCGAAATTGATGACATCTTTTTAAAATTTTTGAATTTAATTTACAATTTTAATGACTGCCTATGATTTAATTTTGTTTTATTAAAAATATCTTTTCAATGCAAACGATCCGATCGTAATTTAATCAAATTTCCAGTTAATATCCTTCGTACGATCAACTACCCGAGCGATATTTGAAAAACAATAAAAAAAACATCATTTCAAACCAAAGATACAACGACCTTTTGTTAATGTTGATGCTTCGTACGCACTACTCTTTTTGCACCTCGTCAAAAAATTCTTTTAAATATAGCCAGTCAATTTAACCAGTCAGATAGAAAATCACTCACTCACTCACTCACTCACTCTCGTGTATATATATAAATAAATATATATATATATATATATATATATAAATATATATATATATATATAATATTAATAAATACAAAATGGTTAAATACTAAAGCACGACATTTATTGAAAAATTTCTATGTTTATATACTTGATATATATATATATATATATATATACACACATATATAACTATATGTATATATATAACTATATAGTTATATATGTGTGTGTCTATGTGAGTTTCTGTGTAATAGTAGAAAAGCCTAAACAAAAAAGAATAAAAAACTCATATATATATATATATATATATATATATATATATATATATATATATATATATATATATATATATATTTACATGCAGGTAAATAAAACTAAATTATATAAATTTCTATATCTTAATCATCATCATCAAGATATTATCATTGTTATCTTCATCATCATGTTCTTTATCATCATCATCATCATCATTTAACGGTAGTAATAATACTTTAATTTGTAATTATATCAACAACAATAATAAACTATATATATATATATATATATATATATATATATATATGCGAGTGTGTGATAGATGGAATGCTGCAAATGATAAATGAAAGAAAAAGATTATAAATAAATATGCAATTGGGGAGGTCTTGGAGGAAAAAAACTCTCAATAACGAATCCGAACTATGACGTCATCTCGCAAAAACGATCATCCGTAAAAAAGGTTAACCAAAAACTATAAAATAAATAAAAAAATTAACTGAAATTAGTAATCATGTCCCGGTTGTAATGGACGATAATCTTATGTTAAATATGCAAAAAAGAGAACAATCACGTTGCATAAATTAACACTGCGCTATTAATAACTTATCCCACTGGATTTTCACTCCTTAAAACTTCAAAAACGAAACACGTCATGGTGAATGAGCATCTCCTCAGTGAGAAGATAACTTGAAATAAAATATATATATATATATACGAATGGGGAAAGGAGTGAATAGAAGAATGAATGAATGAATGAATATATGAATGGATGAATGAATGAATGAATGAATGGATGAATGAATGGATGAATAAATGAATGAATAAATGAATGAGTGAATTAATTAATTAATTAATTAATTAATGGAAAACGAATGAAGGAATGAATGAATTAGCTAATTAATTAAAAAGATAACCAAACGGGAAAACGAATAAAACAAATGAACGAACAAACGGATGAACAATTAAATAGAACACGAAGAAAACACAAAATGCAACATGTATGTATTGTATATATATATATATATATATATATATATATATAGATTAAAACTTTAACCTAAACGTTATATCTATTAAAATTTATAGATACATACACATACATACACACACACATATATACATACACATATATACATACACACATAATACATACATACATACATACATACACATACATGCATATAAATTATTGAGTAGAACTTTACTTAAATAACAAACTAACAATCTTTTAAGTTAAGTAATTCAATTAAAATATAATTATTTACGTATGTATATACAACAAGATCATAAGAATGAATGAATGTGTATATATATATATATATATATATATATATATATATATATATATATAGATCATAAGAATGAAATGATATAGCTATCAGAATACTAATACACACACACACACACACGCACATATATATATATATATATGAATGTGAAAGCTATTGTAAGGAAAATAACTAACAATAAATTTTTGAATAATTTTCCAGATAACAATTAAATTATTATTCATAAGTTAAACAGATGCTGTGAACGAATGAATGAATGGCTGGATGATAGAATGAATGAATAAAATGAATGAATGGATGAATTAAGGAATGAATTAATTGAATTATAAACCAAAAATGTACTTTCTCTGTATGTTTAACTACATATAAATAATAATGATGCGACACATTACTTCATGTGTTACCTAACGAGTACAATTCTACCGACGATTTCCTAATTTCAAAATCATAATATTATATTTTCAATCTCACAGCAACCATAATTTTATAATTATAGCAACCACAATTTCATAATTTTAGCAACTATAATTTTATAATTATAGCAACTATGATTTCATAATTGTTGCAACTATAATTTCATAATTATAGCAGACATAATTAGACACTCTGTATATAAATTCAATACATTTTTACAATTTCGTAGCACTTACCACAGCACCAGGAATTGATATACTATCATTAGAAATAGTAGTAGCATCTGTAGTAGCAGTAGTAGTAGTAGCAGCTTGCGTAGTAGCAGCAGCAGCAGTTGTAGAAGCAGCAGCAGAGGTAGTAGTAGTAGTAGTAGTAGTAGAATTAGAAGTCGTAGTATTTTCGTCATCAATCTGATTATACAATCGAGAAATAGTGGCAGTAACTTCACGTGACAGGCTGCTGATCTGTGATTGGTCGATTTCATCGACGTCTGTCCCCTCGAATGTTTTCTGGCGATCTGATTGGTCGACGAGAGCCGACCTTTGACCAATCCAATCGCTGTGGGGCGTGGCTTCGTTGATGTTTTGAGGCTCAACTACGTGACACGGGGTTGATAGGGAGTTCACTGTTTGTTATTTGTAGAATGTGAAGGTCGTTCCTATCGTTGTCGTCAACATCATCCAACATCGTTATTATTCAACCATCTTTTCATCAATCCATCCGTCCATCTATCAATTTTATCTATTTATTCAACAATCAATCAATCAATCAATCAATCAATCAATCAATCAATCAATCAATCAATCAATCAATCAATCAATCAATCAATCAATCAATCAATCAATCAATCAATCAATCAATCAATCAATCAATCAATCAATCAACCAATCAACCAATCAATCAACCAACCAACCAATCAATCAATGCATCCAACAATCTATCCATTCATCCATCTTTTCATTCATTCATTCATTTATTCATTCATTCACTCACTCGAACAACTCGGGCTAGAAGCCGTATAGCTGGGCGTACCTTCAGTGAATGACGTATGAGTGGGCGTGCTCGTCGAGGTGAACGAACCAATCAGATGAGCCGGAGAAATCACGTGACGTGTCATCTCCATACTTACGGGTAAAGAACCGCTGCTATTTGTCGGTCTAAAAATTGAAAAAAATTAAGATAACTAATTAATACTATATTATATTATTAATTTAATTACAATTATATAATTAAAATTAATATAATATAAATGAATAGGAATAGATGGACAAACATGAATAAGCAAGTAAAATAAATAATAATAATAATAATAATAAAGATGATGACGTCATCATCCTAACTTGTCGTGGCCAGTGGTTAGGTTCAAATCGGCCATGGACGACGTAGGTGGGGGCGTCGCACTGGGCAGGACATCAGGCCGTCCACCTAACAACAACAACAATAATAATAATAACAACAACAACAATAATAACAACAACAACAGTAATAACAACAACAACAATAATAATAACAACAACAATAATAACAACAATAATAATATTAATAATAATAGGAACAATCTTTTATCAAAATGAAATCAATCGAAAATTATTAATAACATATAAGAGTGCATATAAGAGTGTAAATAAATAAATGTAAATAATTTATAATTTTTTTTATAAATTTAAATTTATAAATTTTTTTAATTTTATAAATAAATTTATAATGTAAATAATTTATAATAATAATAATATTAATAATAATAAGCCCTTGCAAAACGATGTTACGAAACACAGAGCGATTGGCTTGAGGTTAAATGTTAACCACCAATCATCGAATGCTTCTGAACTGCCGGATGGCGTGTGAATTTTAAACACAAATGCCTGCATACACTCGACCTTTATCGTTAGCAGCTGCAGTTGTAGTAGTTGAAGTGGCTATCGGGGCCGTGGCGAGAGACTTCTTCTGTATTGGCGAGTGCTTCATCGCTGGCGATGACGATGATGATGAGGAAGATGAAGATGATAATGGTGAAAATGATGATGATGAAGAAGAAGATGATGATGAAGATGATGGTGAAAATGATGATGAGGAAGATGAAGATGATAATGGTGAAAATGATGATGATGAAGAAGAAGATGATGATGAAGATGATGGTGAAAATGATGATGAGGAAGATGAAGATGATAATGGTGAAAATGATGATGATGAAGAAGAAGATGATGATGAAGAAGAAGATGATGATGAAGATGATGGTGAAAATGATGATGAGGAAGATGAAGATGATAATGGTGAAAATGATGATGATGAAGATGATGATGAAGACGATGGTGAAAATGATGATGATGGTGATGATGATGATGAAAAAGAAGATGAGAAAAAGGAAGATGTAATGATAACGATGATGATGATGACGAGAAGATGATACCGCAATCTTCTTATTACTAAAATTTATCGGTCCTAGAAGAAGCTGCAGTGAGAGAGAGAGAGAAAGAGAGAAAGAAAAAGAGAGAGAGAGAGAAAGAAAGAAAATGAGTGTAAAAATACACCTTCATTCCATCACCACAAATTTTCAAATTGCTAACATAACATGCAGATGGTAATGTAGTAAAAATGGAAGAAAACATCTTTTAGAGAACTTTCAGTTCAAAAAATATCAAAAATCATTCAAAATTATTATTGTTATTATCATTATTATTACAAATATTATTAATAATAAGAAAAATGATGATAATAATAATAACAATAATAATAACTTCAAAGACAAAAATATAGAAAAGAACCCAGGGATTAAAACCAAAGCCAAATCCATAATTAGTTAAATAAAATCGAAACTTTTATTAACAACAACAACAACAACATCCTCATCATCATCATCAATATAAAAAAAACATCATCATCATCGTGATTATTATTATTAACATCATCATCATAATCATCCGCAGCCCCAACTTACTCTGGTCAGTAACAACTCTCACTGTATAACAATAGAAAAAAAAAATAATAATAACAATAATAATAATAACGACAAATAATAATAACAATAACAATAATAATAAATCCAGGGTTCTGCCTCTGGATGAACTGAACTAAACTAAAAGAGAAAAATCAACAAGTGACAAATAAACTTACACACAAAAACATAAGCAAAAAACCGAAATAATTTAAACGAAAAATCATCATCATTGTTATCACTATTATTGTTATTATTATTGTTATTATTATTATAACATTTATTTACATAAATAATAATAACATCAAATGAATGTTACAATTTTTCTAACCAATTTGGACGAGTTTCTTGAACCTGACGGCACCTTTGACCTGCGGCTGGTCCACTATCCAAAATAATAATAATAACAACAATAATACTAATAATAATAATAATAATAATGAGAAATAATATCAAAAACAGTTATAAATATACGAACTCATGAAAGCACAACTGACGACAAAGACAATACCGATTGTTATTATTAAACATAGAAATTCAGGGAACAAAGAATATTAATAATTATTACAAATAATAATAATTATTATTATAATTACTATAATAATAATTATTATTATTATGAAATTATAACGAACGCGATGGGATTTTCTTGAAGACAGTCGATGTGAAGAAGCTTTGAAACCTCTGCGCATAGAAACCCGGCCTGTGCACTGAAATCGTATCCTGAAATTGGGTCAGGTCATTTGGCATCAGTATACGTCAACACAGTGACCTAAATAGGTCAGACGTAATTGGGTCGGTTAATAATAACAATAATAATAATAACCCCATCGTGAACAATGGACTTGACAGCGTGTTCTAACTTCTTGGCCAGCCTGTAATTTTGCAGGATGTCGATGATGCCTATGAAGAGCAGGAGGCGATCACCTTTGAAGTTTCTGGCTGGAATTCCCCCGGATCTATTTTTAGATATTATCATCATCATCATTATCTCTATCATTATTTCTATCATCATTATCATCCCTATCATCCTCATCCACATCATTATCATCATCATCATCATCTCTATCATCATCATCCACATCATTATCACCATCATTACTAACGGGACTTCATCTTCGTCGATTTCTAGAGGTTCACTTTTTGCGTGGATTGCTTCCATTGTTGTCGAGAACTGAGCCAGTCTCTGGTGAATCGATCTGCCTCTCGTTACTAAACAACAATCAATAATTATAATTAATAATAATGAATTAATAATATATAATAATATAATTAATATAATATAATTAATAATAATTATTATTATAATTATATTTTTAATAAATACTTTTTCCTCCTCCACCACCACCATCGCCACTGGAAGCAGTTGCTGATTGGCCAGCTGGAGAGTCATGCTCACTTTCCTTTAACGATTCCTAATTAAATTAATTAATTAATTGGCTAATTAATTAATTAATTAATCGATCGACTAATTTGGATGGCGGGATGTTTTAATGATTAGAAGTGCCTGGTTTATCAGCAGCTGAGTTCCATTGTAAGAAAGGTTATTTTGTATCTAATCAGTGTGAATGCGTCCATTGGAGATGTTGTTTTACGTAAACTAAACAACAACAAAACGTCATTAACAAAAACAACATCAACAACATCGCCATCATCAACAACAACAACAACATCATCAACAACAACATCAACATCATCAACAACAACATCATCATCAACAACAACATCATCAACAACAACAACATCATCATCAACATCATCAACAACAACATCAAAAACAACAACAACAACAACATCAGCAAAAGCACGAGCAAACCCTTTCTTTCATAGCCTGATCCAAGTTATGTACGGACATCAACAAGCTGTAATCCATTATCTGAAAACTTTGTAACACCTAACGAGGTGATAATAATGATGATGATGGTGACGTAGTTGATGATGATGATGATGACGTAATTGACGATGATGATGATTAAAATGATGTTAATGGTGATGACGCAACTGACGATGATTTAAAATGATGACAATCAAATTAGCACGCAATCATGACAGCACGAGACATCGTGGATTCTTAACAAACTATAAACAAACTCGCCAAAAACAGTAACGTTTAACTTTCAACCAACTAACATTTCACTCATTCAACCAACCAACCGTCTAACCAACCAACCATCCAACCAACCAACAAACAATCAATAATCTAACTTATAAGCACATCAGCATCAGCAGCATTACAATCGTCTCTTACTCTCTCCCACCCTTTCTACTTCTCTCTCTCTCTTCTAACATCATCATCGTCATGAACACTCTTTCTTATCCTCACTATCTCACGCCAACAACTAACCCTGCAATCTCTCTCGATAGTTTTAGAGAGGGCACTGAACGTGTCAGCCTCCAGCATGATTCCTTCCGGGTGCAGGCCCTGATAATCCAGGTCCTTCAGCGTCGGAGACTTCTTCGATCTTTCCTAACAGTAATTCGGACATCTTCAGTTAGTTTAATTTCAATTTCCAACTAACAATAATTCGGACATGTCTTCTATTTAGTTTAATGCCAATCATTTTAACTTATCAATTTGCCGCTTTTTTAGACTAATTTATTACTTTACAATGACGTTGAGGCAAAGGATTAACAGGAAGAGAGTTTTTTTTCCACGGTAACACATTTATCATTAAAACTACATACATGAAATTAATTTAAAGTAACTTTAAACTTAGTTAACGGAGATTGATTTAATAGAGAAAATTCAAAAACATATCATTTAAAGGCGGAATTTGACACTTTTCCATTTTGGATAATACGGTTTTTACGAAGCTATGGTGTTTTTTATCGTTCGTTACCTACTAAGACCCACACTGCTGCATTGTTACTAAACGATACTTCGTTCCGATTACAAAACTGGCATTTGCCACGAACAAATGTGATTGAATTGATGAGAAAACTCAATTTTAATGAAAGAAGATTTTGTTAGAAACATCTCTTAATGCTTATTTACATACGACGAACTTGCTATGATTGAATCTAAAGATGTGATTCGCCGAAACGCGAATCTATTTGAATGAATAATAAGGAAGTAGGATCATCTTAAATTTCTTTTTTAGCTGGAAATATGATCATATTATTTTTAATTTATTCCTAAAATTAATGACCCATTTATTTATTATGTCGAGTGATTGAATTTTTAAACTTTTTTATAACATTAATAGCGTAGCAAATAAAACATTAAAGCCATCACACTGTTTCTCTAGCTTTTATTTCTCACATTAATTTAATTAAACATCACATAAACCAAAAAAATTACAATAAAAATAATTTTAAATGAAAAGCTACGTCACGAAACTTTCGCCAGACCTGTTTCGACGCCTTCCTCTTGTATGTACTGCCCTTCAAATCGTACTTTTCGTGCATTTTGATTGACATCGGTAGCAAGTTATTCATAACAACGAATCTAATGTTTTTGCCACCACACTACGAATGAGTTTGATTATTGCCTAGTTGGCGAGTTTTGATTGGCCAAGATTTGGTCAATTTGATTGATTTGTGAGTTTCGATTGGCTGGATGGTTTGTTAGTTGAATGGCGAGTTTTTATTGGTCAATGGTTAATTAATTTGGATTGATCTGTGACTTGTGATTGGTTGGATGGCTTAGTTAGTTGTTTGAGTTGAGAGTTTTGATTGGTTAAATGGCTAGCGGACAAATTTGATTGAGTAAATGAGATAACAAATTGATATTAGATGAGTTTTTAGATTCAGCAAATATAGAAAAACTATGAACGATCGCGAACAATTCAAACGACAACAGCAAAATAAATAAACAACAACAGCAACAGCACAGAAACATAAAGATAAATAAACAGCGACACGGACCTGATAACAAAACAGTCCATAAAATTTTGGCAACAATGTCCTTGGGTTTTGATTCAAATTCTGTGGAGTGGAGAAGAGAGAAAAATAAAATTGAAAGTTTAACTCATTCATTTGTTTATAAAATCATTCACTAAATCATCCACCCATCCATCCATCTATCATCCATTAATCCATCCATTCATCCCCTAATCAACCGACCATATAATATCCAGGCAATAACTTCTGTAGAAAATCAGCCTCCTTATTGCTCACGGTCTTAATGATGAATTCGTCATCTTCGGTTATGTAAAAAATACTACCACTGGCACCCGGGTTAGAAAGTTCTTTGAGAGGGTAGTTCGACAGTGAGATCTGTTCACGACAAAATTATTATTATTATTTCTATATTAATACCGTAGTATCCTCATCTTACGCAATTTACTGTGATAGGAACACGATTTGAACATAATTTAATGTTGATTCTATTTCTCTTTGTGCCCATTTAAAATGTAAGGCGAGCATTGTAGAATATCTATATAACTTACATTATAAGTTTTATTATTTTAACTTTATAATTACAATGTATGTTTTAAAATGAAAACATTCTTTATATAACATGACGAGCTTCGGAGATTATTTCATGACATTTTACTATATATATATATATTTTTTTAATTTTGATTATCATTGACAATTATTGTTTCTTTCATTTCATGTATGTTTTAACGATGAAAATAAAAAGGCCACCACGCCGCCATAAATAACTGAAATAGCAAAGCAGCGCACCAGAAAGTCGTCTGGCTGGATTCCAAAGAGTTCGCGGAAATATCTGAAAGCAACCGGGGCGTACGTTTTGAATCGGAAATCTGAATATTCGTGGGGCGGGGTCGACGAACTACCATCTCTAGAGATAAAAAAAGAGTTTTTTTTTAAATTAAAAAAAATATTTTTTCTAATTTGATTCATTTTCAACGCTCTAACAACGCTCTAACAACAGAACCATTATAAGCATCAACAATAAGGGTATCAAGAATGAAATTTATAATAATGATATAAAAAATAATTAATAATAAAAATAAAAATTGGCAAAAAAAATTATGAAAACAAACTTGGGGAAAAAGACAGTCTCAACAATTGAAAAATCTTGCAGTAATAAATCTCTTTTCGGCTTACTGCTCAATGAAGTAATACTTTGGCCAATACCTAATTGTATGGCGGACATCAATTCTGTCGTCGTTTTCTAAAAACATATAAAATTATCAATAGCATATTATAAATATTTAATTATTTAAGGTTATATATTTATTAACATTAATTAAAATTCCCTTTAACCTTTTTGTAGGTTACAGACCCATCCTCATTGACCCTACGATGTCCTAATTTTTTTGTCCTATCGTGCATAGTACCATAATGTCGGTCATTTTTGCCGTGGACCCCAGCAGCTGGAGATCCTGAAACTGAACTGCCAGGGTCAACCTATAAAATATGAAATTAGAAAAAACAATGAAACAAACAAATCTTAAATAAAATGATTACATTTAAATGGTTCTTTAGAATTATATGGTTCTTTTGAAATTTAATTTTTCAAAAAAACTATAAATTTATTTAATTGAATAAATTTTAAAAAATTTAGTCATTAATATTTATAACTTTCCAATTTTATTCTTACCTCTATTAGACTTTGTCTTGTCTTAAGATCTGCATATTAAATGTTATTATATTATTAATTATATTATTATAAATATATTTAAAATAAAAACTGAATAAAGTTTTTGAATTGTGAGTCAAACAAACAATACAAAAAATATGATCATTTATAATTTTATATTTCTTTGCTAATTCTTTTTTTACTATTTCTTTACGTCCTACCTCGGGAAACCGGGTCTCTGGACGCAAAACGAAGATTGATTGATTGATAATAATTCTTTAATTTTAATCATTATAAAAAATGTTATTTCTTCTGACTTGGGTCCCCAGATAGGCTGGCTTTTTTGTGCACTTCTGCCATCCTGAATAAAAAATAAATTATTCTTGAGAAATTATTTTATTTTGAATTTCAAGACAAGAAAAAAAAAATTTTATTCTAAATCTAACAGATTCTAAAGATTCTAACTACTAAATTAAATCTACCTAAAAAAGGTAATTTATGAATTAATAAAAATTTTTAAATGATCAGAAACTATTAAAAATAAAATTTAATTTAAGTATTTTATATTTTATTTTACCACTAAGCAAGAAAATATAAATATTATATTAATCAGAAATATTAAATTTCAAATAAATAAATTAGAAAAAGCAATTCTTTTTCATATATTTTATTATTGTTTAAAACTTTATTAATTTAATTTTTAATATTTTAATATTAATAGAAATCAAAATTAGGGACAAATATGAGAAAAAAATCATTCAAAATCAATTTTATAGAAAATCTAATTTGTCCCATTTTTTACCTGGAATAAAAATGGAATGTTTGAAGTAAATTTGAGTAATTTTATCGAATTATTTTGAACTATTTTAAGACATTGTGATGTCTTTTTTGATCAATATTTTATCCAAATTAATAATATTAAACACTAATATTATTATTATGTATTCAGAGCTGGAATGCTAACATTTAAAATTACATCAAAATATACATTTTATACCTTTTTTATTTTATATAAATTTAATATATTTAACTGTTTATATTCAATTTTAAATAAGATATTTATACTAATGAGAAATTAAGTAAACATAAACATAAAAAAAGTTTTTCACAAATTTTTTAAAAGTTTCTTATCTTTGGAGTTAAATCGCTTTTCCTTTTAGTCGAAAACGTTAATTTGTGGTAATTTACTCTGAATATTCGGAATTTATTTTTAAAAAATATTTAAATACGAAATAATGTTTAATAAAAATTTTATTCATTTTCTCGTCCGTACTAACTGGCTCACTTTTCGCCCAAGCTTTACGCATTCGTCGTCCCCAGTTAGATCTGCTCACAATTTGAATTTGATAAATTTATTTTTAAAAAGAAACCTGATGATACTACCTGAAAACTTTTCCCGAATGTTACTACTTTCTACCTCAGCCAAAGTTAAAGTTTGGAATGTTTTTTATGTTCTAAATTAGCTGGTTTTGTTTATAACTTATAAATTAATTGATGTTTTTTACTTTATCCAAATCCTAATCTAATAAAGTCTTTGATGTTGGTAATAGTGTAGTTAATAGTTAACAAGGTTGGTGAAATACGAAAAAATGCAAACTCAATGCCTAATATAAGTTTTATTTTTGTATCAGCATGTTTGTATGTATATTATATTTTAATATCTGAACATGAGTATCTATAAAACATAAATTAGTTTTTTAATATAATTTTTTTTTGTTTTCCCAGAGCAGACATATCATCTGCAGGCAATGCCTCGCCAGATTTTGCACATCCCTTAATTTGGTATCAACTGTTCCCCAATCACTATCCTTGATCTCACTAGAAACTAATCATCACAGCAACAACAATGAAACCCCACTTAAATGTACCTATTTAGTAACACATTCGCTCAACAATCAACTGACACACGAGAAACCGACCTGTTTTCCTAACCACTACAACTCGTTCCAACAGAATTTCAGCGATTCTTCGAGTGTTGATAATTATTTCAAAAAATCTAACCCATCTAAAAACACACCTTCATCACCTTCTCAGAGTTACATTAAAAAATATAAATTATCAGATGATGATATTGTTTCAAGAAAATTAGGGGTGACATCATCACTAGCTCAGGGTCCATTGTTGAGAAATCGAGAAATAATTTTTTTCAACAATCACCTCATCCCCAGCCATCTATTGTACAAATTTGAAATTTTTGATTATTCTAGTGATAAAAAAGTTAATAAAGGTGATGCTGATAATGAAAATGATGGCAAAAATATGAATAGGAAATCTGCAGATGATGATAGGAAACCAAGCAAGGATAAACTGGAGACCGTGGAAAGTATTCTTATTGAAAATGTAAAACTTTAAGTAAATTTTTTTAATATCTGTTTATTTATAAGTCTTATTTAATTTAATTTAATAATTGGTATCTTTTTTTAAATTTAAAAATTTTTGCTCGCTCCAGTTTTCAAAAATTCTTTCTGAGAAGCACGATTTCAGCATCTACACTAAAGACATTGAGTTTGTTAATAACTGGTTTCCTGATAAAAGCTATTCAACAGTGTCAGTTCACAGCTTTTATATTGTTTTTTTAATATTACAAAATTGTATTTAATATTATTAGCTATAAATTTTTTTTTCATAAATTAAATTTAAATCCTCAGAGGTACAATGCAATATGCCATAGAGTTGGCTAAGCTAAAAATATACGTCCTCATGCGATTGGCCAATTCCAAAATGACCTTACTCAAGGTGACCAATCACGTCGAAGATAGCTCTGTGAAGATAAGATGGAGAATTTTGGGAATTTCCCACTCGAAATTTTTTTTGAAGTTTTTCAAAGATAATTCTAAAAATAGAAATGGTGATGATGACGATGATCTAACAGAGTAAGCTAGAAGAAACTATTTATAAATTATGGATACGTGTATGCGTGCGTGTGTGTGTGTGTGTGTTATTAAAGATGCTCATTAATCATTCAAATTTAAATTTGATTGACAGGTGGTTGGATGGCTTTTCGACATTCTACGTTAACAAGAAGGGGCTGGTTAAGAAGCACATCATGGAGAGGGTAGCCAGATGCTTGCTTCTTTTTGATACATTATTTCTAATTTATTTACGTTTAATTACTCTAATTCTTTCTTTAATTGATTTTTCAATTTTATTATTATTTATTCATTATTTAGTTAATTATATATATATATAATGTTTAATTTATTATATGTATTTATATATATTTACGATTAATCACTTAATTTTATTAATTAATTTTCACCTCTATTTAATCATTATTTAATTTCTTTTATAAATCCAATTAATTTTTAATTTAAAAAAACACTTTTTAAATGTTTAATAAGGTCATCCCCGAAGATACAAAAGTCACTCGGCCCAAGCAAAGCATTGCCGAGAAGCTGGGCCTAAAAATACCCTTACCTATTCCGAGCTAAATTATAATTATTATAATTCTTACTCCTTCTTTCAGACTCTCTCCTCTCTCTCTCTCTCTCTCTCTCTATCTATCTATCTATCTATCTATCTATCTACCTATCTACCTACCTATCTCTCTTTGTCTATCTATCTCTCTCTCTCTCGATCTTTTTTTAGATTTTAATAATTACTGATGTTTTTTTATTATTCCTGAGTACTTTTTTTAATTATTATGAATATCATTAGGCCTATTATTATTATTACTTTGTTTAATGTTTTTTTACGATTTAAAACTAGCCAATAAATTAATTACTCATTTAATTAATGTACCTAGATGCGTAGTTTACTGCATGGATTGATTTGATTGATCGGTTGGTTGGTTATTACTTTGTAAATATAAATTATTCTGCGAATTTAATTTTTAAGTTTTTGTTTCCCTCTCTCTCTCTTTCTTTCTCTCTTCCGTTTTTTTTTCAGTCTCCATTGACAGCTGAATTTTTAGTTATCATGCACATTTATTTGAATAAAAAATTTTCGTTTAAATATTGGCTGCTTGATTGATTGGTCGATTAGTTGGCTGCTTGATTGATTGCTTGGCTGCTTGATTGATTAATTCATTTGTTTTTTTTTTTTTCTTGCCGTACTTTATACTGTTACGTAAATAGAATTTTTTTCAAGATTTGCTGAGACATTAGAAATTTGGATTATGTATTTCGTTTTTATAGTTAAAGTTAATTTTAGTCGGTTAGTTGATTGGTTGTTTGATTGTTTTGATTGGTTGGTTGATTGATTACAGTTGCTTGTAGTTGTAGATTGATTGTAGTAGGTTGTAGTTGCTTATTACCTTAAACATCACTTTCACCCACCATCATCTATGAAGTCATGTCATGTTATGGAATTTCGAATGAAAATAAAAAAACAGAATGGCAAAGTGTGTCCTATGTCTCTTGTTGAATGATTAAAATTCAACAAACACGGGCCTCTGATTGGGTTACCTATTTATTCACATCATGACTTGTTAATAATTTTTTTAGTAATCTCAATCATCATGTCGATCAAGTATAGTATTGTCATTCATTCATTCCACCATTCATTCATACATTCATTCGCTAACTCATTTATTCAATCACTCAGTCATTCGCTCTCTCATTCACTCGTATCATCATCATCATCGTGATCAAAAAGAAACGAATTTAGAGCAAGCCTTGATTGAAATCCATGACTCTCGGATTTTAATACGTACAATCATTCATTCAATCATTTACTCATTCATTCACTCAATCATTCACTCATTCGTTCACTAATTTATTCACTCATTCATTCACATCCTCATCAGAAAAGATTCTTCAATCTCTTGATCGGATTGAGACCATGTCTCGATAGGAACCCCTGGCTCTCGTGTTTTATTGTTTTCATGTGATTCACTGACAGAACGATGAGGATGAACTGAAAATTATTAATTATAGTTATAATATAATTATAGTTATAATATAGATATAATTATATAGTTATAATAATAACAAAATGATAAACCAGCAAACTTTCAAAATAGCCAACGATCCGATGATGATGATGAGAACATTCTTAATCTTTGCTACTTCCTCCACGACTGCTTCGAAACAGGGCTTCATAATTATAATTATTATAAAGCTAACATTGTTATTATCATTTAATTTGAGTGAAGTAATGGTTAAGGCGTCTGGCACTGCTGTTTCAGTGACCTGGATCGAATGCAAAGAGATCTCCGGCCTATCGCATGCAATGTTGCGTGTTGTAGTATGTGTGTGGTGTATTGATTCACATGTATTTATACGTACTGTGTGTTTGCTGTTCGTTTCTTTATGGAATAATAAAGAGAGTAGTGCCGAAAAATACAACTGCTTTAACATCGTTAATAAATTCTGAAAACGAGAATAGCAATTATAACGGAGTCATACATAAATTTTATATTCGTTGTTATGTTTTAAAGATGGTAAAAAAAGAAATAAAGAAATAGAGAAAGAGACAGAAAGAGAGAGAAGGAAAGAGAGAAACTGAGGCGAATTAAAACAAACCACATCAAAAACCTTGTGATAGATAAAGGATGGATTTTCCTTCCTCTGGCACATGGAGAGTCCCACATAATCCGTCTGGTCGATGATGTTGTATCCCATTTTTTCGCAGCAGGTCGTTGGCACGTAGTTCTCCATCCCGTCCCAGTATACCTCTCTGTAGTCCGTATAGTTGTTCACCCCACAGCATTTCAGCTACGTGTGTGTGTGTGTGTGTGTGTGTGTGTGTGTTACGTTTAAGAGAGAGAGAAGAGAGGGAGAAAGAGATATGGAGAGATAATTATGATATCTTCGTTAATCCACGCTAATTTCTGTTAAAATATGATATTCCATATATTTGATAGCGTAATAGTAAAATTACCGACGTCAATTTTGGGGTTCAGGGTTCGAACGCAGTTCAATTCCAAAAATAAACGGACGATCAGGTGAACGAACGAATGAACGAACGAATGAATGAATAAAAGAATGAATAAAAAATGAAAAAATGTGATAGACAGATCGGAGAGGAACTCACAAGGACTTGGAATGCGTGCCACATGAATGTAATGGTTTTCGTAGGCTCATCCAAACGACCCATATTTACAATGTCTTCAAATTGGCGGGAAATTTTTTAATTATTATTATTATTTATTACTATTATTAATTATTACAATACAACTACAATAACTATTACTATTATAACCTGATTTATATTTATTATTTATTATTATTATTAATTATTATTACAACTACAATAATTATTACCAATATAACCTGATTTATTATTATTAATATTATTTATTATTTTTATTATTATTAATAATTATTACAACTGCAATAATTATTACTATTATAACCTGATTTAAAGTGACGCAGACTCTTCGATAAGCCTTTCTTTATGGGAGCTTCAATCTTTTAATTGTCAGTGTTTCGCCATTCAAATTGAAAAACGTCATATTAAAATAAAAGAAATAATGGCATAATAATATAATAATAATAATTATTATTATTACTATAATAATAATTATAATTATAATGCCTACAGTTTTCGGGAAAAGAACTGCAAAAAGTAGGAATGCAATCTCGGCAATGATGAGGATCGTCAGGGCAGCGTTGTACTTCAAATAATAAAAATTAAAAAAAATATTATTATTATTTGTATTATTATTGTTATTATTATTATTACTACTATTATTACTATTATTATTATTGTTATTATTATTATTATTATTATTGTTGTTGTTATTATTATTCGAATGCGACTACTACTACTACTGACTGGGTCAAAAATCACAGAAAACTGTTCAGTCCCTTGATTAACAAAGTTTTCCAACTTATATAAAAGCCAGTTAGCTGGCATGTACAAACATTCGCGCAATCATTTTCGCTGAAGTAATTCTATTCGTTGGCATTACATTTAGAGAAGATTTTACAAAAATTGCCCTTTCTATACCAAAAACATTAGAGGCTTCTGTTTCTTTGTTGCCGCGAGGTCTCCAGACATCAAGAATTCGATCCAGAACATAAATATTCAGTTTAAGATGCCTCAAATTTGATAATTCAAACGATTAATTTATCTTCACGCGATCATCTTCCTGCTGCACGCTAGCCACCCAATGCATTGTTGCAAATATAAAATTAACAGTTTCGCTTCCGTGTGACTTAACAACGTTTTAAAAATACAAATGATCGGTGTTGGTATTGTTATGTCAGACTGTAAATACAGCAGTAGGTAGCTGAGCACTTGAGAAGTCTTACTGCGCGATACAAACTGATACACGACACGGTATGATACGATACGATACGATATAAGTAACGATACGATACACATACAATACGATACAAGCACGATACGATACGATACGATACGATACAAGCACGATACGATACGATACGATACAAATACGATACGATAGAATACAAAATAACTTTAATTGCCACCAACGATTATAAGCGGTATTCGATTATTGATGCAAGTACCACAAAAGCCGAGAAATGTCAGTACACATATGAAGGAGCCAAGGATTACCAGCACCCATGCACCTATTGTTATTATTATTGTTATTATTGTTGTTATTATTGTTATTATTATTATTATTATTGTTGTTGTTGTTGTTTGTTCTGTTGGTGTATTTACTAGTTAGTCGTATCGCTAGTGCGTTCAACCGTATAAGGTATGAAATGATCAGAAACAGAGTAAATAAGAAATGACAAATTAGTGCAAACTGGCGCGGAATACCTCGATTCATGGCCTGCACTACCGGATCCATGTAGCTCTCTTTAACACTCATGTACTGGAATATTGAAAATATCACGTCAGGTTTGTGGAGTGCCAGAATTCCCAGAACCAAGATGGCGCCGCCTATAACCTAGTCACGTGATGATGGTGGTGACGATGATGACGTAACGATGTTAATGATGACCTGGTGTTGGGAATGATGATGACGATGATGATGATGGCGAAGTGATGATGACGATGATGGCGAAGTTATGATGATGATGGTTTTACTAACCATTACAAAAATATTTAGAGAGAGTAGGACTGATTTGGCGCAGGCCATAATTGAAAAGAATATAAAATAATTGATCTTTATTCAGGTGTAAATTATTATAATTGTATTTATTAATATTATTATTGTAATTATAATTATTATTACTATAATTATTCCTCTTATTATGATCGTACTACAAAAATTCATTAAATTTTTTCATTTGAAACACGATTGTTATATAAGGTATCTTTAAAAACATAAATACTGTTTATTTTATTTTATTATTATATCATTAATATTTATTATTATTATTGTTGTTATTAATTATAGTTATATTATATATTTTATGACGACGAACTCTTCCTAATGGGCTAGTGAAAAAGCTCTCAGCTCGGCTCTCTTCGATTTATTTAAATCACCGTATGCAAATTTTAAAAGTAATATAACTTAGTCATATTATTATTATTGTTTCTATTATTATCATAATAATAATAATTATATATATATTATTATTATTATTGTTTCATTATCATTGTAAAAAATAAACTTTAGGATGTTTTTGACAATTCGATTTTATACATTGCCGGCTGGAGGTTTAGCTAATAACTTAATTAATTATACAGTGCGTGTCTCGTTTCGTTTCGTTTTAACGATTCAGAGTTCCGTTTCGTTGTAAAACAGCTCGTTACACATACACGCACACACACACACACACGCACATACACGCACACACACACACGCACGCAAAACACACACACATGACTGAGAAAATGCAAAGACTTTTTACTGTAAAGTATAATTAGCTGAAAGAGAAGGGATGGAAAAATTCGGAAAAAATATATAAATTATGGTTATAATTATTATATATATATAATTAATAATATAATTATTATATATATAAATATAAATTGTAAAAAATGTTTAAAAGCGAATAAAATCATTATAATTAGATCTGAAGCGGCGAACAGACGTTTTCAAGATTCTTTCAATAATCACACTCTAGCCATAGTCGGTTCATAGCGTGTCCTTATAAAATGGCAGTAGAAAGGTTATCATAATTATACATACAGGTCACACACACGCACGCACACACACACATATATATATATATTCGTCATAAATATATATTATATATATTCTTTTATATACATACATATAAAAATATAATATTTTATTGTTTTACACCATAATCAATTAGAAATAACGAAATACAATAATTATTAATATTAGTTTTGTTGTGTTTGTTATTATTGTTGTTCATGTTAGAATGACTCTCATAGCACGTATGGAATAAGCGAGCCAAATCAATGGAATAAAATAAATACGTAGATATTTATTCATTCGTTCGTTTGTTCGTTCGTTCGTTCGTTCGTTCGTTCGTCCATTTCCAAATTCATTCTTTCTTTCATTCAATCATTTATTCATTCATTCGTTCGTCAAATCTTTCAATCACATAATACATTTAGTTATACTTCTACTAGGAAATCATAGTTTGCATAAAATAAATAATTTCAACAGCAATAATAATAATAATAAATATAATTATAATTATTAATGTTGTTATTTTTATTATGAAATTTTCGACTATGCATATTTATCCGAAGAGCTCTTCATAATGTATATGGCCATTGCCAACAGGAGGATCTGAATGGATGAATGAATGGATGAATGAATGAATGAATGGATGAATGAATGAATGAATGGATGAATGAATGAATGAATGAATGAATGAATGAATGAATGGATGAATGAATGAATGAATGAATGAATGAATGAATGAATGAATGAATGAATGAATGAATGAATGAATGAATAAATGAATGATAACTGGCTGTTTGGCTGATCAGATTCAAGCAAATAATAAATGAACAAAAGAAACGAACGAACGGATGAACGAGTGTATGACTGATTACATAACAAGACATTTAGTCATGAATAAATAAATATATATTTATAGATAATAATAATTATTATAATTATGATATTATAAACTAATTATGAAATTATGAATTAATTATGAAATTATGAAGTAAAGTACCACCTCAACAACAATGACACCAACAATCCCGCCAATGATGTAGCCCTTGTATTTGCTAATCTCATCCTGAAAAGCCTTAAAGCATGACTGAGAAAAAATAATTTTTTTTTATAAAAACTATATTTAATTATGATAAAATAATATTATTTTTATGATGTGGTATTCTTTAATTATGACGTAATTTATTGTCAGCATACGTAATGATATCTTGCAGTTCACGTATTGTTTCATTTTGTACAACAGCACAAGCAACGACAACAACATCAACACCACCAACAACAAAAACATCATCAACTGCAACACCACCAACAACATCATCAACTACAACATCATCAACAACATCATCATCAACAACAACATCAACAACAACATCATCAACAACGACAACATCAACAACCACAAAACACTGACTCTCTCATTGAAATACTCAATATCTCCCAAACAACAACAACAACACTAAAAACACAACCACAACTTCAACAACAACAACAACTTCAACAACAACATCAACAACAACAACAACAACGACACTAAAAACACAATCACAACTTCAACATCAGCAACAACAACAACTTCAACATCAGCAACAACAACAACAACATCAACAAGCACAAAAACACTGACTCTATCATTGATATACTCAGTATCTCCATTAAAACACTTCTCTTTATCCAAATAATCCGACTCATCTTGTGGGTTGTTGGACTTCTTCTTACAACATGTCACAGGAACTGCATGTCCTTTATCACTAATAAACGTTACATTCTTGTACTCTATGTAGCTCTCCACAGCGCAGCATCTCATCTAGAGTTAGGATCGCATTATAATTGAGTAATTATGTTTCATTTTTATCTATCTTACTGAAATAATAATAATGATAATAATAATAAATAACAACAGTAATATTAAATAACAATAATCATAAATTATTTTGCCCCGTGGTTTATTCTCCAGGGAATTCCTTGCATTTGAAGCCAGCCAGTCTTGCAACAGCTTGTCTTAATCATTATTACGCCATGTCGGATGATTGCATGTGTGTATATGTGCGTGTGTGTTAGTTTAAAAATTAATGTTTACCGAAACTTGTGTGATATGCCAGATTAGAGTGAAAGATTTTGAAGGCTCCCGTAACTCCTCATCAACTGGATAATCTATTGTTGTTAGACGAACATATCAATTGATTAATCAATTACTCATTCATTTCTCCACTTTTTCATTCATTTCTCAATTTTTTCATTCATTTTTTCATTCATTCATTTATTCATTCGTTTGTTCATTCGTTCGTTCGTTTGTTTGTTCATTCGTTCGCTCATTTATTAATTTACTCATTCATTTGTTTTTTTCTGTCTTTCGTTTGTTTGTTCATTTAAAAAATCCATTAATTAATTAATTCATTTATTTACCAATTTATGCATTTATTTATTTATTCGTTCACTCATTCGTTCATTCGATCGTTCGTTCATTCGTTCACCTCAAACCTACCGGAGCCAAACTTTTTCAAACTCTTGTGCATGTACTCTTTAACAGGTTCATCAATCTAGTTTGGCAAAATAAAATAAATAAAAATAACAACAGCAGTAGAAGTAGTAAGGATAACGAGAAGTCTCTTATTTTCAAACGCAGGCCGATAAATGATTCAAACAATGAAATGGTGAAATGATGAAATCCCATAAACGAAGCGTCTATAAAAACCATCACTCCTAAATTTCAAGAGAAAGAGTACAGGTCGGTTGAGTATTCTCAAATTTATATCATAAACTGTTCCTACTATAGTAAATGCCGTATGACAACCACCTTACAACAGTCTCTACCAACTCATCCTTAGAAGAAACCGGCCACCAAATTTTAGACAATAATAAGAAGAATAATAAGAATAACAAGAATAATAAAAATAATAATAAACTACCTTTGCTGGGTAGACCACGGCTAATATGAGGAAGGTGATCTCACCAAGAATGACGACGACTAGAACTACAACATACTGCGTGACGTCATCATCACAATTATTACGTCATAACATCATAATTATTACGTCATAATTTCATAATTTTTTTTACATTATAATATTATAATTATTACGCCATGACTTGTATATGCATTTGTGTACGTGATATCTAGCTATCTACAAAGCGTTGATATCATTTGCATGGAGAAACATGTGTCAGTTATTATTATTATAATTATAATAATAATAATTATTATTATTATTATTATTGTTATTATTATTATTAAACATGTGTTATAGATTAGTAACATTAGCCAGCCAATAAATTTTTAATTCTATATGGCTTACAAAAAAATTATTTATTTAGGATTTAATTGGTTGAGTATTCTCATTATTATTATTATTATTATTATTATTATTGTTGTTGTTGTTATTATTATTATGCTATTTCAATTTATTTTAAATTCAGTTTTGATAAAATTGATTGAATGTATATGTATGTGTATGTATGTAAGAATATGTATGTGTCATACAAGTATATGTATGTGTATATACAATGAATATGGTTTTAAAAATGCATGAATAAAGTTTATAAATTCTTTTATTTTTATTCTATAAAAAATAAAATTAATAGAAAAAAAATGATCAAACTGGTTAAAAATCAGTCAGCCATTAGTCAGTAGAAAAATCTTATTAGAAACAATAAAAATGCAACAACAAC